GGGCGGACCGGGGTTCACATGCGGAAGAGTAGAATCATGGCGAGGGTCGTTATCGATGAGGATGAAGTTCCCTGCCGAGTCTACAGTATTCCACAGTTGGTCAGATATACTGCTAACGCATTCCGTGGGTAGGCTAAAGCACCAGGATCAAACCTGGGGCGGAGAGTGCACAGGCATAGCACGTAGGTATTCTTGTACGCATGGTGAGCTGAATAATCCGCAGTAGTTTGCATTCTCGTTAGCGTGTGGAACTAAAACTCGAAGGAGAATACCTTCCGCACCATGCACTCTCAGGGCGCTAGTTTGGGGGATCGACGCCCTCCCTCGAATCGAAGCCGAGCATTATCCGAACTCTTCAACGGGCCGTGTGTCCACTAGATATAGACAAGGTCGCCACTTACAAGGTCCGGACTCCGCAGATGTCGTAGATAGCTGACTGGGTATACTTGCAGGCGGTTGACGGCGGAGCATGGCCATCTGAGCTCATCTCAGGGTTCTCATTGCCCTGTGAATAGACACCGCCTGGAATGCATGGCCACCAGTGGTTGCACTCTTGGGACATCGACAGCTTGGCTTACATTCTGCGATGCGCGAAGGCTGCACTAGGGCAAGCAGAGAGATAGCTGAACGTTGTGTTAGACCAACAACTCAGTTCCACGCATCCCACCAGTGAGCTCAGGCAGTCCCGCGACCAGAGGGATCATACGTTCCGCATGAAAGATACCGGAAGGATTCTATAGTAAAGCGATGTCTTATTGAAAAGAGATACCTACCGTACCCGTCGAAATCGTCGATCGAGGTTTGGGGCGAGCAACTGGTCACAATCACGAGCGCCTGTCCACCCGATCCTCTTGGCGCTTGAGAGTTTGAGAAACTTGCTCACTGCACATCGCTTGAGCAGCAACAAAATACTGCACAGAACCAGGCCGAGGGGTGGACTCTTGGCTATGCGGCGCTGGACGACCCTGCGCTCTACCCAATAATAACAATACCCGGACTGATTGGTTGTACCGTTTCTCGGTACTCGGGGAGGGCGGTGGAGGAGACGTGGTTGTGTTGAACTCGAGAGGTGCGTACACAGTCATATCAAGATGTCGGCAGTTAATCTTAATCTGTGTCCGTGTCTTCAGCGACACATCCCGGCTTGCCAACATTTTTCACGCCCCGCAAAAGCATCGGTTCTTCCTACCGTCGTGCTATGCGCTTTCATGTTCTTGGCTTGGGACCCATTGGATGTCTAATTGCTTACCATCTTCGACAAAACGTATCCAGCAACCACCCTATCACTCTAATTCACAAAACCGCAAAGCATGCTGCCTCTGCGCTCAATGCATCCAATACACTCTCCTACGAGAGGTCGGGTATCGTCCTGCACCAGACGGGCTTCCACCATGAGGTTTCCTCCGACCGCCGTAATACGTCCCCGAAGTCGAAGGGAACCCCCATCGACTCCCTCATTGTTTGCGTTAAAGCGCACCACACTGTCAGTTCCATTCGAGCCCTTGTCCCGCGACTCACGCCAGACAGCACCATCGTTCTCATGCAGAATGGGATGGGCATCTACGAAGCCCTCATACGCGACATCTTTCGTAATCCGGACCAACGCCCGCACTTCGTTCTCGCGTCTATCACACACGGTGCATGGCTGAAGGATTACATGCACGTCGTGCACGCGGGCGTGGGCGGCATTCAGATGGGCATTTTCCCTGAAGAAGGCGTCGACTTCGAGCAGTCATTCCCGCAGCTGTGCTTGGACGACATAGCACCCGAAGGGACTGAGCCTGACTCGCGTCCATCTCGCTTGACCTCACTGCGGCACACGATCGCCGCACTGGCGGGTATGGAGGCCCTCAACGTCGAGTGGCAGACGTTCTACAACATACAAATGGCCATGCGCCGGAAGGTCGTTGTGAACGCCGTCGTCAACCCGCTCACTGCGCTCATGAACTGCAAGAACGGTGAGATCTTCGCGCACACGAGCGGCCAGGCAATCTGCGAGCGCGTCTGCATGGAGGCGTCGAACGCGTTCCGGGTGCAGCACAGAGCGGAACTAGTCGCGACAAAAGCCTCGAGCCGCGAGCAGAACACCGAGTTTCCCTATCAACTGACTACCGAGTCGCTCGTTAAGGAAGTTCAGAGAGTAGCCCAGGTCACTGCGGGCAACTATTCCTCAATGCTCATGGATATACGGCAGGGTCGGGACACAGAGATAGGCTTTATGAACGGATACCTGCAAACTATCGGGAGGAAGCATCATTTGCAGATGCCGACCAACAGTTTGTTGATGAGGCTCATCGACCTACGGACTAGAATACCAATTCGTTTATAATGCTTTCGTTGGCCGCGCCACGCACAAACGACAGATGACCAGAGACTGAGCAATGAACTATACACAACAATGCCAAGCGCTACATGGGACAAACATGAAAGCAACAGATATATGCGGTATTCGTAACGTGATGAAGACGAATCTGAGGTGACGCAGTACCCTACTGAAGCTGAGAGACAGATTAATCGAGAGACTGTTTGCGCTTTTGGCCTGCTTTGGCGGGGGGTGACGTGACATGCTTTGGCGAAGCCGCCTCGGAAGCGGCATTGTCCAAGTTCTGGAGAGATGTTTTGGGAGCGAGGCCGTTCGGCTTGACGCCATTGAGCACCGAATTGGCGGTACCGTTTGGTACGCCGTTGGCTTTAGGAGGCCCATTTGTTTGCGCCATTTTTTTCGGTGTCGGGGCTACAGACGCAGGCGATGATGCTGTACAGGAAGATGGGTGAGGTCAGACGATAGTAGAGGGCACGGAGAACATACAGCATAAACTATGATTTTTGAACAGCTCGATCATAGCCGTCATCTCGTGGTGGTCAACCACCCGCTCTAGTTGGTTACCGACTAGGATGAGTGGTTCGACACCTTCCATCTCGACGTCAGCTTCCTGGTCAACATCCTGCTGTGCGTCCTGTTTTGGGGTGCTCTCCGTCTCCGTTCGCACAGCGAGGAACTCGTCCAGGAGAAGGTCGAAAAGCGTTCCGAGAGGTGGCACAAGATACGTAGGCGTATCAAATGTCCTCTCGACTTCCTTGCCTTTCCAACTTGAGCCCGTGTACGTGGACGGTAGCTCAACGTTCGCATTGCGAGCAGCAAGGTTCTCAAACGCGGACTTGCCGAAGATATCTTGGAACAGAGTCTGCGTCGTAACCGGCGCGGCACCAACGAGGCCGCGACCTGTCGCCTCTTCGGTCCCCGCGAGACGTATGTGGTCGCCGAAGATGACTGCGTTCCAGCTCTGCGTGATGCCAACGAACGCGAACGCACCCGGGTCGTTTGATAGCCACCGCGGCGGGCATGGTGAAGTGCTGATGAGACGGAATGGTAGAGTGTGGGCTGAGATGGCCTCCGAGGAAGCTGTCGAGAACTTCAAGACATGCGTCTGCGGAGTTCGTGCGTCGGTCTCGAAAATAACGAAGCTCTCGTCGCGATGATGAGGGAAAAGCTCGCTAATGCCGGAGGTACTCTGGTAATTCCACCGCACTGAAGGACGATGAGTGACGATGAGTAGGAGAATCATCCAAATAGCGTACCACTCTCCGTGATGAGGTCCCAGAGGGCGATGTCCGAATGACTACGCAACGCAAGGTAGCGACTTGTCCTGCCGACAAAGCACACGGAAGACACAAATTCGCACTCAGGACAAATAATTATCCTTACGGCAAGCATCGTGCTGGGGTCATAGAGGGTAACGTAGGGACCGGAAGCGACAGCCATAAGCGAGCCATCGCGAGACCATGCCACTCGTGTGGGAGTCTCCGAGCGAGAGCGAACCGTCGCACGAGTAACCCAAAAATCTGTACGGACAAGTCAGCGATCACTTGTGATGCCTACAAGAGTGACATACTCTCAACTTCGCCCGACTTGCTCTTAGTCGAACAGACGCCCCACATCTTCACGCATCCATCCGCGCCGGCGGTCACCAAAGTCTGTTCGGTGCACCCTCCATCACCTGGGCGGAAGGTAACAGTAGTGACCTTACTGAGCCCATGGGGCCGGTCAATTCTAGTATTTAACATCCAAGAGCCCTTCTTCTTGTCCCAAGACCACAGCTTGATGTAGATCTCGCCGCGGAAGCCATCTAAAGCCGGACGCGAGTCCACGGTAGCTAACCATTGGCCAGATTCGGAAGTAACAGCATGTTCCACACGAGAAGGCTCAAGTGGCTTTTCGTCTCTACGTGAGATCTTGTTGGTTGGCGATACTTCGAGCTCGGAGATGAGAGTGGAAGTCAACGGAGAGTATGTTTGCAAGCTAGAGGGATGTGACGATGGAAGAATGAAGGAAGATGAAATGGCATGAGCTGCGAGAGGCACCGAAGCACCGGTGGGAGGTCTATCGGAAACGATGGCAGGATCTGAAAACGCACTTAGACACACGACAGGATGACAATACATCGCAAATAGCCCACCCAGCTTGACCTTGACGATAGTCCTGGATATCCTGAGTGTACCTGAACGCACGAAGATATAAGATGCATCGCTCAGACCCAGCATGTATTCCTCTTCTCGGCCGCGAGCGGTAGACAGGGTAATGCTGGCGATCGGCGCGCCGACACGAGGGACAAACTCCCTCTTTCCAGTGTGCAGCTGCCAGATGACCAGAACCGCTTCTTCACCTCCGCTGAGCAGGTAAGCGCCATTCGCTGTAAAGGCCAAAGACGAGATAGCATGCGCATGCCAATGCAGAGTGGTTGTTGGAGCCTTCTTCTCCACGCCAGTAACACCAGCTGGAATGCTATCGTTTAGGCAGTACCAGAGTCGCACGACACCCTTGTTGTCGCCAGTTGCAAAGTAGTCGTCGGTGGGGTGGAAGGCGAGACAAGTCAACTTCTCAGGCGACACAAGCTTTGTGAATCCAGCCTTGACATCAGATACTCTGCAAATGTATGCTTTGTGTCCACCGATAGCGACTAGCCAGTCCCCGCTGGGCGAGTAGGACAAGCCGTAGGTATAGCGCGCTTTGCCGACCACGCGAACACTGGAAGGTTTCTGTACAGGGAGCTTGCGCGTCGATTCTGTGGGAATCGTTGAAATTATCTGCACCTGAGCATTGTCCTCTGCGGTAGGGTTGCCTGCAAGGGATTAGATGGGACGAGGCAGGACATTACTGAGACGTACGACGGTTATTGAGTTTCTTGGTCCCCCGAGAAATAGCGATGCACACCTCGTTCTTGTACCTCTCGTGCGCAGCAATCTGCAGGATTGGCCGCGAAACTTCAATCGTCTGCAGCAGCACGGCGTCCACGAAGTCCCACAGCCTAACACAGCCGTCCATTGAAGCCGTGAGAAGCTGGAACGGGTTGTGAGGGCTCAGTACCATCGAGGTGACTGCTTCACCGTAGCCTGTAGCGCTCGAGGGTTTGCTCGCACTATTGACCGAAGTGAGGGTAGAGATTACTTGGCCGGAGGAAGCAGAGTGGATCTTCACAGTGGACCCAGATGCAGTAAAGAAATAACTTGCAGGGCTTCGATTAATATGTAACGTGCAACGGAACGTGCTGATGCATCTTACCTTCCATCCCTTGTAAATATTGGAGGAACAGCACCCGCCGTTGACTCTGTCAATGACCTCCAAGCCCACTCATTAGCTGAAGAGCCCGCAACAGGCTGTTCTGGGATCTCTGCATCGTCCTTCTCCCCTTCCTCAGCGCACGGGGCTTCCTGGGAGACTTATGCGGAGTCGGTAGAAGTGCCTCTGAGGAGTTGGGTGCTTGTGTCGAGGCCCCAGAGACAGGCATATCAGTGGTAAGCGCAGAGAAGTTGTACTGGTACCTCCACCAAAAAACTTGCCGGCGTCTACAACGTCGGGATGAGCGCACAAAACTCACAAGCTTCAAGGTTTCAAATAGGCGCCATCCAGGGCACTGAATCCGGAGTCGGTCGCGCGCGCTCGTCCATCGGCGAAGGACATAAGCGTAATGGGATTACAACGAATGGGGAAGGTCAATACATCCAGGGTACTACAGAAAGTGCGTAAATGACAGGGAGTACATGCGAACATACGTGGTATCTGAACATCAATACAGTCTCCGAAGAAAGCGGCAGTGCATGGATTAGTCAATCCTCGAAGAACCGGTAAGGGCAGAGCAAAGCGATGTATGGTACAAATTAACGAAGAAGAAAATGCTGCCCACGCAGGGCACATTACCAAATCTGAGGCGCAGGCGGGAGGTAATCGTTAGGCAATAAGAAGGCATCAATGCCGTGCTGAGAGAATGAAGCCCCACCAAGGCTCTGGTCTGATAGCCATACAGGCAACTGCTCGATGGAAGTCGATTCGAAGCCGCGCCAGATGCTCTCAACGTTTCCAGTGCCGCCATACTGCGCAAAGTATTGCTGCTGCATATTAGGGCCCATATGGCCCATCGGTTCGGAGTGTGCCGCGAAAGTTGCATCGTACGTCGGTGACATTGCTTGATTTTGTGCGTGCGGATGCTGAGATATCGGATGTCCCACCGTCATGTCTTGAGAGTGTGAACTTTCACCACTACGGTGGCCAGGGCGAGGAAGCTGAGGCGAACGAGACATTGAGCTCGCCTTGCGTCTCTTGAAGCGCTTAAGCATGAGTTGGAGTGTGAATGCATACCGCTTGCCGGGCACTAGTCGCCATTGTGACTCCAGAACGAACTACGAATAATACGAGCACCCACCTTCCGACAACAAAGCTGCGAGGTGCTCGACCAGCATTCTGATTTCATTGACATCGCATTGATCCGGGCTAGGCGATAGTCAATCGTGAGGAAGGTGCGCTGGCAACAGGATACTCACAACAGACGAGCTAGACGTAGCAAGAACGAGGCCGAGAACGTTGCAGTGGCGTGTGTGTAGTGAACCGCTAGCAGACAGTCAGCTAGATGCGGAACAGTCCGTCGGGACAGCCTACCATATTTCATACCCTCCCGATACGCCGGCGAGTTCACAGTAATATCGAGGATTTGACGACCAATTTGGATAGACCGAATAGCGAGTTCTCTCTGGCCAGGTAGCATTTTTTGCATGTCTTCAGGTCCATCAATGCCCCTTAACGCCGTCGCATTGTGGAACAGCTCCGCGGTTAGATGCTGAATCTGCAGGCTCTGTCTGTAGAAGGCTGTGTAGGATATCCTAAGATTAGCTGAACCGCATACAGGGGCAAAAACAACAAACCGGCATCCTCGTACTTCTGGGAGAATGCTTGATCCCATGTCTGGTACCAATTACGAAACTCCAGATCGCCATCACGCAGGACTTGGAAGGTATGCTCGTCGACCGGTCTTTCGAAGAGCGGAGCCAAATTGTTGTGTATTCTCTCGCGAATCGCCATCAGCTCGACCATGGATACCAGACGCATGTCATCTTCAATAGCAAGCGGGTGCTGCAAAAGCAGCCGACAGTTCCATATGCTCTCGTCATCTTTAAGTATGGCTGGCCTGCCAGTTCCGTAGGACATCCTGCACGATGTTAGAGGGAGTAGTCAGGGAGTAGCAACAGAAACCTACTGGTGCTCGAAAATGTATAGACAGAACCATGTGCGTGCGGAGACCATTAACTGCCTTTCCTTCGGGGACGTCGATGCCTTATTTGCCTTCATTCTTTTGAGAAGCTCTGGCCACGCTCTGTGCATCGCTGGCGGGGTGCGTCAGAAAATATTCTGGGACAAATATGAGAACGCTCACAGATTTCCATGGCCATGCGCACAGCGTGCCCACCAGGAAGCCATCCGTTATCAGACCAACCAGAGACCAGTACTGATTGAATAGGCCGTTAATGTTACGTCTGAGATCTGTCAAAACAATCATACCCATCGCCTGCACGGCCTCTTGTCGCATCACTGGGGAGAACAGGGTGGCACATGAGATGGCATGTACCTCTTCTTGGCACTTGAGGAAGGTGTCACTGGGTTCACCTTGGCAAACAGTCGACATGTGCTCAATGAATTTTGTGATGAGTAACATACCTCCACCATCTCGCACTCGCGCGGCCACCATGCAAATACAATCAACCGCAAAAGGAGAACGCTCATGAAGTTCCTCATATGTGTCAACGTTCGCGTCGAAGACGGGCAAGAACGTGGAACACCCATGGTAGAAGCTGACCGAGCCGTGATAAGCAATAGGCCATGCATGGATTTGAATTAGCGAACTTACATTCTGAAAAGTTCGCGGGCTTCCGACTCGGGTATAATTTTCTTTGTAACAACTACGATGGCGATAAAGTTGCTGATAGACGGCCTAGATAAAGGGAAATAGACTCACCATCAGGCAGGATGGTATGTACGATCTGGGGCGCTGTTTTTCTGCGCTTCGCCGGGCGAGGGTGGCGTGGTTCGGGAGAGGACGTCCGTGGTCGGCTTTGAGGCTCACTCCCTTCCCCGTTCTCCTGGCGGTATTGTTCGAGAGTCAGCAAATAGCAAAACTCTTAGCAAGCCCGAAATACCTGGGCGGCTCGTTCAATCGCGACATCAGCGAGGCCCCGAAGAACTTCCCACGGGGCGACCAACCCTGAAGCTGGCAATTCGCCGTCCTCATCTTCTGCGTCCGTCGAATCCGCACTGGTGACATTTGATGACGGTGGAAGGGCTCTTTTGGAACCTGACGCCGCCTCTAGGCCATTCATACTCCTAGCTAGCGGGCGTTGTCCCTGACCGTGGTCCCCAGGATGGTAACGCATGGATGAAACATTACTTGGTTGTCCACGGGGTGGGCCCATTGTTTCGAGGGATGAGAATGGCGGCAACGTTGTTCCGTGCGGGCCTGAATGCCCTTGCTGACCGTATGACGGGACTTGAGGCGGATGCATGTCCCCAGCGCCTGGAACCCTGTGGCCCAATGCGCCCAGAGTAGGGCTCTGATAGGTGGCAGAGGGGATTGAGTCTCTGTGTTGGCGGCTCATCATGTGTGATTGTGGGTGGCCACTGCTGCCGCCAGGGGTTGGGGTGTGGGCCGTATCTACCAGCAGCTGGGGATGGCCGCCTACCGTAGGTGTCGACATTCCGGGGGAACCAATCGAATGGACACTGGGTGACTGGTGCGTAAGTGACGGAGGGTACACCGACGGCGAACGTCCGGCGAAGTGTGAGCCGCCGCGTAAATGAGCTGCGATTTCCGTCAAAGTGTTCTGGATAACCGTCTGAGAAGCTCGAATTTCGGCGACATGGTTCTCTAGACTCCGAATGCGCCTGGTTGGTGTTAGCAACGCGTTGCTTATATGCGACTAACGAGTGCGACTTACTCTAGTCCCGCCTCGCCAGTTAGACTTGCCTCCCTCTGAGGCTTTTCGAAAAGACACTCGAGACCAGCATGTCTACAACGTCTGCAGGGTGGATTCTCGGCCCCCTCACACCTCATTTTCTGCTTGCGACACGCATTCTACAGCGGGATGAAATCAAAGCGTCGGATACGATTACACTGTCGAGACTTACGCAGGCACCTGTAAAGCAGGAGTTCAGCATCAAGAACGCAGCATGAGTGGAATAGACATCGTACGAGGCACTCTATTCAGTGTTCGGGCCGTTGGTTTACCGTCCTTGTTGACGGTCTTGGAATCGTTCACATCCATCTCCTCTTGCTTCTTGACTGCACTCCCGCTTGCGTTGATATCCATAGAGGCGTGCGGTGTGGCGTCCGCGAGCTTCGTGGTCACCGCCTGCGGAGTGCTGCACTGCAGCTGGTGTAGCGGGACGAGAGCGAGGTGGACGACGCAGAGACTGGAGTTGAAGGGCGCGCGGTCTGATATGCACGAACACCTGAGCCTGCGGCCGAGATCTCACGTGCCGCCCCGGCCATCTCCCGTCATCAGCCTGCCGACATTCCGCCGCCGCCGGGATCATCACGCGTAACATGTCACACCGTTTTGCGACGCGGGCGGCAGTGCTGCCGGAAGTCCTCTTTCGGCATCTTCGCGTCGCATACCTACTGTACACACGACCACCACAATCTCCTTAAGATGTTAATGGCAATGGTCTCAAGAGTTATGGGGTAATTTTTTGTCACATATTCCCGAGATGACGACAAGCTAAACTCATACTCGTTTATTAGTGCTTGGTTTGCATTCCTAGTACCGGCATATTCGACCTGGAAGGCCCTTTCGCACAGACCCCTTTCAGAATCTGAGCTGGAAAGATGTTGCATGCATTGGACATGTATTGGTGCACTCGTTGCTTTCGAAAATGTGGCAGAGTGGTTTATCAGCTGGTATCATCCTTTTAGCATCCACTTGACCGCATCTCATATCATTACTAGGTTTCCATTCTACTGGGAGCTGCGGACGCTCATTCTTCTCTTCCTATCGCTACCTCAGACTTCGGTGCGTTGTTTGTTGTGTAAGCGTATCCATGCATCTCTAAGCGTAGCCCGCAGGGATCGTCATGGGTCTATCAGACCTACCTGGACCCTTACTTCAGGAAAAACGAGGCAGACATCGACGCTGGTATCGCTGCAGCACAGACAAACGTAGTCTCATATGTTCAGGAAAAGGCGGCTGCTCTTTGGGATGCCACCTGGCGTATTGCTACGAAGGCCTCGAACACAGCCGGCGGGAACGCTCCGACTTCCACGTCTGCGCCTTCACAGACGCCCCCTCAGACCGGCGCACAGCAATCCCCCGCAAATATCTTGTCCATGGGTACTGACCTTTTCCACAAATATGGACCATGGGCGATGGGCGCCGTCCAATCGTCACTTGGTGCTGCGCAGGCCCGTACATCTGCTTCCACCCCCTCTGGCCAGCCTGGTCCTCTGCCCACCCCTCCTGCCAATCCGACCCCGAGTCCCGGTCTGTATAAGCGCTCACCCTTTGCATCCACCGAAAGCGTAGCTACACCGTCCAAGCCACCATCGTTCCCTGAGCCCTTCCAGTGAATAGATTATTGCGCGCAGAGAATGTAACACGGCATAAACAAGCTGTACGGACAAATGGGACTATTGTATCGGTTATACGATGTACATACTCAATCTTGCGCAAGTTCTATTGGTTCATACTGTGCCACATCTTCTCGAGATGACGTCCGATGTATCCAGCGCTGCCATTTATTGACATCATCTCGACCGGCCTTCCGTACCTCGCCGTTACGCATTACCACGTACTTCTTCCCTCGCCAGTCTACTGTGCTACCCCAGATGGCATACGACCAGATAAGCAATGCCAGCCCTTCGCGCAGTGCCCAAGCACCAATGAACTTCCACCTCGTTAATCCTGGAGGAACCGGGTGTCCGGCCAGCGATTCATAGACGTCCAAGTCAACGAGTAGCCACGTGAGGAAATGTAGGGGAAAGAATAGCCAGATGGGAAAACCCAGAAGGTAGTGCAGAGACGCAGCTGCTATACAGCCAGCGACAATGGACTCCGTGAAGGGCTCCGCCATTGTTGCAGCGAACGCCATGTACTTCCGGACTCGAATCCATCGCACGCGTCGCCAGAAGTAGTCCGCAAGGGACATGCTACCAACAGCGTTGTGGGCTACGTCGCAGGACAAGTCGTGGCGGACATCAAGCTCGTGCCATAGCGCAAGGCCAATCATGTTGTCTTCGGCCAAAAATCGCCCGAATGCGGGTAAGCCTTTGTCACGAGTGGAGCCCGAGGACGAGACCGGCTTAAGTGTGCCATCCACACGCTCCAGGTCACTTCTGCGATACAGGTTCGACTTGCCGTTGACACATGAATCAATCGCAACCGTGTTGATTGCAATGTACATCTTCGCGTGATTCGTGTTCAGAAAGGCTTGCTCGACGTGGGAGCCGAGGGCCGCCTCTGTTGCGAAAGCGAATGGAACGTGGTGGACTAGGGCTATGCGCTTGCGCTTTGGTTGCGCGACCGACGAAGGGCCGTCCAGAGCGTCCACGGAACGCGCAAGAGTACCGGGATCCACCATAACATTGGAATCAAGGACCCAGATTATGTCGTGAGCGGCTTGACGGTATGCCTGGACAAGGTTGTTGACCTTTGGATTAACTCCAATGTTCTCCTCGCCTGCACGAAAGTGAGCTCGACACAGTGAGCGTCGGACATGTACGGAGGACGTACCAATGAGGACATGCGCATTAACATGCGGGTATTTCGCGATGAGATCCCGCACTACTCCAAGAGCCTGGTCGTGCTCATCCGACACCGCAAAGAAAACCTCGTAATTCGGATATTCTTGACGGAACGTCGACTCGAGGTTCTCGTATAAATTTGGATCAAGCCCCTTCAAAGGTCGCATAATGGAAACCCCGGGGACATCCTCCGCAGCTGCAGAGGCGAGAGGCGAGCGCGGCCGCAGACGGTAGCGTTTTCGACTAACACACGAGTTAGCTTGACTCTGAGTGGGATGGACGCTAGACTCACGCGGTCCAACATCCTAAAATACCAAGAGACCACAACACTGCATACCACACTACGCCAACAGCGGCCAGCGAAAGCTTGAACACACTCCTGTGGACCTCTAGGTCGTCGTCCGAGGCCATGGTTGCTTGCACGTGGCTCGCGTTTACCGTTGGCAAACAGTGTCAAATAACCGCCATGCTCGTCAACTTCTGGCCAGCCTTCGTTAACCTCATCTCAAGCTGGAACTTCTAGGTATGTACCGAGCGTATTTCTTGACCTTTGTACCGCGATAAACATCTTGAGCAGTCGCTGGGTAATCTGAGGCTGTCGCCCAACGACTTAGCGTGGCCGAAGGTGGCATGGTCGAGTGGAAGGACGCGTTCAGCAAGGGCGTCGCGTGCTTCCAAGCTCAGAGATACGAGGACGCGTTGCGGCTTCTGTCCCACGTATGTATGCTCATGAATTATCTCCACCTTTGCTTCAATTTTTCCACCGCACAGGCAATCAACCTTCATGCGCGCGACTCCACCGTCTTCGATTCCAGAGCTGCAGTTCACGAGAAGCTTGGCCGCACGAAGGAAGCCCTCCTAGACTCAAAACAGGTCATCAAGCTCTCACCGGAGAGATGGCAGGTTGGTTGCTCTTACTTTCGAGCGACCCTTCTCGTCTCATGGACTTACTGGCAGGGCTACGCACGTTCTGCCCGATTGTTCTTCAGCATCAAGAAATTCGAATCAGCTCTCAGAATGACCGATCTGGCGCATGAAAGGATCAAACCTGAAGACACCAAACGTCGCACGGAGCTCGAGGCACTACGTTCTGACATCGAGACTACCCAGGCCGCTCACACAAGACGGCAGCGACAGCGCGCATGCACGGCGTTTTACCATTTCGGAAGACTCCCTGTCGAGATCGCCCACGGCATTTTCTCCCTTGTCGTCGAGGAGGATCATACACAGGTTGTCGTACTGGGTCAAGTCTGCCGCGACTGGAGATGCGTCGTGGTCGAAATGCCTAACTTATGGACCCATCTGTCGCTATCAACCGTAAATCCAATAGTCAAGGCCACGCTTTGGAAAACACGCAGCAGAGGCAAACTGAAGGCTCTGTGCATTCGAAGTGGGGATGCAAAGACCATGTGGGCTCTACAAGTACTCGAAACTACATCCCTCGATGGCCTTCAGACGCTATCTCTTGCCGAAGTGGATATCTGTGCCCTCCGTCAGCGTCTCCCTCTGCTATCGCACGAAATCATCTGCCATCTTGACAGGTTGGAGCTGCACAATCCTCTTCCGACGATGGACATTCACCGGCTATTCCATTCACCGACGCTACAGCTTCGCACTCTAAGTGTGCGCGGAGTGTTTATACCATGGGGCGACCTCACAGAGCGCTGTGAAAAGCTGACCACCCTCTCATACCATGGATGCTTTAACGCTACTTATCTCCACGATCTAACATCGTTCCTCCAGCGAAATACTCGCCTAGAAGTCGTCGAATTCTTCGCTGGCGAAGATGCGATGTCGTGGAAATACCAGTCATTTGTCTCAACGCCTGTGCATCCGTCTTCCACGGATCGAGTGCCCCTGTCGACTCTCACGAAGCTTGCCCTGGGCGGTCCTTTCTTGGGCTCCGATTTGTTCTGCAAGCTCCTCTGTCCAAATCTCCGGTCGTTGCACATCTCGAAGTGGACTGGCACAATAGACGTTCCCCTTGATCATGCCCGTACTAGCTCTGCGGCTGCGCCTCTCGAAGAACTCATAATCGACCGTTGCAGCCTCTTGGATCCTACTAGTCTCGTGCGTTTTCTCGAGAGCGCAAAAAACATAAGGACGCTGCATCTTCTCGGCATGACGAATGCAGGGGTGGTCCTCCAGTCCTTGGCGGAACCGAGGAGCAACGAGATCCTGTGTCCGCAGCTCACCCATCTCAACGTCTCCCATTGCCCTGACGTCCGTGATGGCCCACTGCTACGACTCGTGAAAGTTCGTTTGCCCCTCGAATCGCTGCACTCCGCTGAAGACATCGAGCAAGGGGAGGCCAGACTTCAAGCCTCGCCACGACCCTCCCCGCTTATGTCGCTCATTCTTGACGGCTGCCAGACAATCACTGCCGAAATTCTACCATGGCTTAGGCAAAACGTGCCTCACGTCAGGTGCCAGTTCGCTACGAAGAAACAGGCTAGTTGGAAGCGGTAGTCATGACTCCAGACAGGATACTCTATGTACTCTGGACGATTTCTAGACAGGCACAAATTCATTCTAAGATTCGGGGGGTGTAGCTGGTTGCGAAGTATCAGTCGACCCAAGGCGTTTGACACTCTGACAGTGCTCTCTGTGTGTCTTCCAGTGCAGTCTTTGGCATTCGGAGTCGCAGTACCTGCGAAATGAGAGCCGTCAAGTCGGCGAAACAGGACGAGCAGAATCTGAACGTACTTTTCCTGCCCGCATCCGCCACACTTCTTCAGAACCGCGCTCGGTCTGGAGCACCAGGAGCAAATCATCGAAGGGACAGTGCTGGAAAACGGCTCCTTGAATGCCAGTTGACTAGGCTTTGCCTCTGTAGCCGATTCATCCCAGCCGTCGAACTTGGCAATCCATCTCGAGAGTGAGTCCTGCACCTGGTCTGAGTCTACCGCGTGATGTCGACCGTTCTCACCCGCTTTCCGCCCGAGGTACCATTCGTCCGAGCATATTAACAACTCGGCCCATTCCCTTTTGCCTGTGCGGTGCGCTTCTACGAGGTTCCTGGTGAACCTCGCGTAGTAGCGATAGTAGTTGGCCGTAACGCCAAACAAACGAAGGAAGTCCCCGTTAATCTCTAGCTCCTTCATCGCACGCTGATGTTTCTCGTCAGGGTCAAACCAACTTGACTTGCGGAATTGTACGTGCCTGAATGGACGGCGCCTTGAAGCTCGTTGCACCGCCCTCAATAACGACGTGCGACAAGATGTAGACAAACAGATGGAAACACTTCATCAAGCCGTCCGGGGGGCCATTGTCCAAAATCCACTTCGCATCAGAGCGAGCGCACACAAGCCAAGGGTACACAGTTACAGCTACAGGGCTGTTCGTCGTCGCGCCCATGACTTGAGTCCACGCGGCCCCGACGGCCACCCCCGTAAGCTCGATGCGCAGCCATTCCGGGATATCAGAGCACTTGAGACCCTTCTTCGCCAGGCGTAGGCGCAAATCGGGTGCGATAATGGGCCCCTCGGCCCTGGGGAGGTAATAGAACAGCGGGCATTGTGGATGTCTCTCCCTCGCGGAATTACAAAACTCGTACAGCGTCTTCTCACCTTTGTAGCAGAGCGTCTTCCACTCCAGCATATCGGCATAGAGTAAGTCCTGTTTCGACGGCGAATCCTGCTCGCGCAAGCTCTTGTAGCATCGTTGAGCAAGCTCGACCCATGGTGACTGCGAGATACAGGGCTTGCAGCTGGGAATATGTCCACAATCGGGGCAGAGTATGTCAGGGAGAGCGAATCGGTAGTCGTAGATCAAGGACGCCAGTTCATGGCCCAGAAGAAGGGGATCCGTCTCAAGATTGTATCGGACGAAGAGTGCGGCGTACGCGGCTCTTCCCCGCTGCAGCTGTGTCATGAATAACTTGTCTCGTCCGTGCTTGTCCGCAGCTTTACGAAGTGTCTCGGGTAGATCTTCTATCTTCAGGTTATTGGCTATTAAGACCGTGCTTATACAGTTCCGTTTCGTGTCTTCGGGCGGAGAGTTCAATATCTCGTTCCCTGAAGCGTCGCGATCCCTGAGGTGCATCTTGGTTAAATTACACACAACTTGACATCGCCGCTCGAAGTCCTTGCTATGCATGAGGGCGGCCATAAGCGTGACGAAGGGGTACATATGTTCGCACTTCTTCACGGTGTCGTACGGAGTCGCCGCGAAGCACATCATCGCGTGTTCGAACATGAATCGGGTCGCGTGTGGGCCTTTGAGAGCACTGAGCAGGGCTCGTACCAGTACGACTACGTCGAAAGAGGCGCCGAGGGCCCGTGCGGCAGAAGCACCGTGAGCGAAGATACCGGTCGTGATGGCGAGTGTAGTAGGGTCTTCCAAGTGTTTGAGCGCATGTTTAAGAACAGCTGGTGCTCCCCCAAGAAAATTAGAAGGAACTTGCTTTCCCGAGATGAAGACGATGGAGTTCAATGCACGTAGAGCGACATGGCGTGCATCATCATCCTCGACGAGAGTAACCAGGTGCCGGTAAAATCCTATATATCAAATCCCTGTTGAGCCTTTGAATATCGAAGCGAATTTATGACAGGCGGACCTCGATCTAGTATCTTTGTTTGCAAGATGGAATCGACCATACACATCTTGGTGTAGATGGCAATGACAGCACCCATGACCTTGGTATTCCTCGTACGCTTAGCATGCTTAAAGGTATCTTCCAGAAGTTGTTGGATGGCGGGCAAATCTGAGTGCACTTTCTTGAGGCCACTGCGCGTCGTGAGGTCTGAAGAGGGAGGTAAGCCTGATAGTTCAGGACAGATTCGCAGGATACGTACCAGGTAGTTTTAACAGACCACATACTTGATCCGCGATTTCCACCCAATCATCCGCAAATTCATCCGCAAAGACGTGCGTAAGTGACTTCGGTGGTTTACCTCTAGTGGCCTTACTACGCGAGCCACGACTGCTTGAGCTACCGATATCGTCTGGAGAGTCCTGCATGGCCTGTTACAGGCAGCCAGAGGCGAGGAAGGATTACACAGATATGGGCAGTGATTGAGCGAGGACAGCCTCAGAATTTACAGCTCACGACAAGCTTCAGGGAGTGGGAGGAGATCAGAAACAAAAGATTTTCAGACACAAATTGTATCACGTGCGCTTATGAGACGCGACGCGACGCGGCGGTTCATTAGAAGCGGCCTCGGCAGTGTCCAATAAGGTCATGCATCAATAAAGCCTGCACATTGGCTTCATATTCCTCGATAGAAGCATATTTTTGATGGGTGAGCTGCACAAATTTACGCAGGCTGCTGGCCGCACGGAACTGTCGAGTCAAATTTGTTGTTTCAAACGGCTTATTGATGAGTGGCACTTATCTCAAAAGTCTTGGAAGTATAAACAAATTATATGGGTCTTCCAGAGCATCATCTGATCCAGATGCTCTGTCGATGTTGCTGTCGTCATCTCCGAGCCTCATCGTACGATGATAGCTCCTCAATGAGCCTTCCTGGTGGCCCAGACCCAGATAGCTTCCCAATATGGCCCTCTACCCGCCAGCCCCACTCGTTCCCCTCTTTCCATCTGAATACATCCGCACCAAAGTTGACCTCTAAATCGCAGGCACCCTCTACTCCGATGGCAGCGTAGACGTCGTACCGTGCCCGTGGGATGTACACACCGCCAAATGCATCCGGGAGGCGTAGGTCATTGTACGTGAAGAAGATGCTCGACGATGCGAAGTCGTATCCACAGCCAACCGTATCCCCGGGTTTAATACGCTTCAGGGTGGGCGCATAGTCCCGTCCACCCTTTGGATCCTCGAAGAATTTGCGCATGTCATCGAGGTGTAGACCGGCGGACTCCCGGTTCCAGCCTGGAAATCGCCAGTCTGGATATGGCCTGCAGGCAGTACCTATGAGAGAGGGGTAAATCAGGGCGGCGCGTCACTAGGCGAGTTACCAGGACCCACCAATCGCAATGATACCGCTCATTCTGCGTATGTGGACTTCGTAGTAGGTACCTGACTTTCCTTGAATATCGTACAGCCCTGCTAGCAGCGGTAGGTTGCTCAAGAGACACACGTCACCGCAGTCTTTATCCGTTACCACCTCTGTTACGCCACTGCCTTTCTCCCCGCGGTCGGTCACGATTTGTCCGGAAAATCGGCTCGAGGTTGGCTGCTCCATAGTCCATGTCTTGCACCCATCGGCAACGATGCGCTCCACTAGTAAAGAAGAGAGTAACTTCGGGAACTCCATGGGATGTTGTTCGCAGAACTGCTCAGCAGCCTCGAACTCGTCGGCTGGCACATCACTATGAAGCCCCCATGTGTGCGACTCTTCAGGAGCTGGCGTCCATGCTGGTGGTGCTTCAGATAGAGGCATAGAGGCAGGATACTGCTGTCGTGTATGATGTGTGCGCGACTTGAACCAAGACATCGTCCTGGTGGATAGCGGAAGAGTCAAGCTGTGAGCTGACGGCTGCGGTTCTGAAGCTCCACCCTGAGATAGGCTGCACAGCCACGTGTAAACCCGAAGATCACCAGTTGACAATAGCTCACAAGCACTGACCGTATCGAGCATTACTATACATGTATCATTGTGCATCATCGGTCTGATCGGCTGCCAAATGGCCTGGCATGACGCCACGAAGGCACAGACACAGAGCGCTCGCCGAACGTCACCAGCGTATTCGCGGGATGAACCGAGAATATTTTCTGGCTGGCGATGGACCACTAACTATCCTGTAGCTCCTCAAGACCGAACAACTCGACTGTGTTTCTCCACACCTGATCTGCCAAAGACTCCAGAGCTATACCATGCAGCTGGCTGACCACCCAGGCGACACCCCCAATAGCTGACGGCTCATTGCGACCCTTAACCGGCTTGCCATAGACAAAGGACTCTGGTTTTGTCGCTTGCGGGAAGTATAGCGAGTTCAGAGGTGGTGGGAGTGACTTGAGATGCCGTCTCGATGCTTGCGTGCTAGTCATCGAACACCATGGTGCATCTACGAGAAAAAAAAAGGTCGGTGTGGCTTTTCACATCGTTCAGCCAGGAAAGCGCACCGGTCTCAAGCATAAGCTTCTCAACAGGCACTGATTTAGCGGTAACAAGATTTGCTTCGGTTTTCAACGAGCATCCGTTTAAACTGGTGATTCGAGTTAGCTTTGGCTGTAGAGCTGGAACATGGCAACACACCCAATGTAAAAGCCCATGTTAATCTATATTCGAGAGATGCATCAGAAGCGAAAAGTAAGAGCCTCTCGGCTGACGCACCAGTTCCACTGCCTCCTCAACTGTTCCAGTGAAACTGTGAACGACCCCGCTATTTGCCCCAACCCCTCGACCGCCGTCTTCTCCAAACCCTTCCTCGCGTAGGATACTGACGAGGTCTGTGTGGGCTGCCCGAGAATGAAGGAAGAGTGGTAAATGCCATCGTTTTGCGAGTGAGAGCTGTAAGCCTAATGTAATTGTCAGGACGGCTCTTTCAGTGTATGATGTACGTACGGAAGTACTTCTGTTGAATATCGGGTGCCGCGAAGTGTGTCCTGTCGTAATCTGCTCATGTACTTATGAGCTTGTAAAATCTTTGAGTGTAAAGGAAGAAGACACACCTAACCCACATTCACCGACACAGACCACACGTCCCTTGCCCTTCAGATTGCCTTCGATTAGCTCGTCCAGCTCCTTGAGATATCCGTCAGGACCATCTGTATGCTGCTCAAACTCTCCGGATCGCGTCGGGTGACACCCTACAGTAGTGTAAAGCCCATGTTGACGCGACAGTTCCAGTGCTTCTCTGGATTCGGGCAGACTGCCTCCAGTTATGATCATGGACTTAAGACCGGCTGCCTGGGAGCGTTTGAGCATGTCCTCGAAATCATCTGCCGCGCGCAGGATTGGCACCATCAGCACAAATCATCGTCCCTGTTCAAAACACCAGTTACACACCTTCATGTTTCTTCTTCCCATGATGATATCCTCTGAAAACTGCGTCCGTGAAGTTGACTATTCATGCAATCTCAATCGGTCTGCTTGGCTAATCGACTCCATTCTAGCATACCAGCTATATCTGACTATGCGTCAGCCAGCGCTCCTACATAGCTCTTGCATAGAGCAATAAACACACTCACCTATAAACTTGGGGATATTAACTGCTTGAACGATGGTAGGCACCGCGACAGCCGTAGCGGACATGGTGGCACGAAATGATGAGCGCTTCTCGCAGAGCTCGCAGTACTAGTAGCCGCTTGCGGCAACCTCCACCTAGGCCTCATATATGATCATGAATATGGAGATCGCGTCAGATGTCCCACACCAAGTCTCGAGCTCCTTCCAGCGCAGGGATGGAGGGGCCGGAGCTGTAATCACAAGCGCGGCTTGACAGCTTCGGACTAGAACGACCACCACCTCTCAGGGCTCCGAGAAGGGGAGCACGGAAAGTAAGATAGCCGGACCACCCGAACTTCTTAAGGTGCAGAACTGGTTCTCCTGCAGGTTCTCGCCATCTGCGTTCTCGTCAACCCCTGCATACCTTGTGAATCTACCAGACTCTGACAGATCATGGAACGCATCAAGCAAGTCGTGTCGCACCTTACACCAGGCTCCTCAGGAGGGGTTGCTGCATTGGAACGTAAGAGCCCAGACGATGTGGTCATAACCATGGCCATCCGTTCTCCGCTCTGCAAGGCGAAAAAGGGTGGTTTCAAAGATGCCACGTATGCTCTTGTGTCCTTCTTGTTGTACTTGCTCTGAGGTTTGCGCAGTTCGGAAGAGCTTCTGCTCGAGATGTTCAAGCAAGCTATCGCCCGCTCGACTATTGATCCCTCCTTGGTCGGAGACATCACTGTTGGCACCGTGCTGACCGTCAACGGCGCGTACGAGGCGCGTGCAGCGGCCATGGCGGCTGGTTTCCCAGAAACTGTTCCAGTCCAGGTCATCAATCGCTGGTGCTCATCGGGTCTCATGGCCGTCACGGACATCGCCAACAAAGTCAAGACCAGTCAGATTGAGATTGGTCTTGCTGTCGGTATGGAGAGTATGTCCTCCAAGTACGTCTATTCCAGGAATTCTCTGGCGCGTGCAAAAATGGACTCTGACGGATGTGATTCCACTCAGTCCGGATTCCGGATGGAAACCGCGCAGCGAAGCACTGAAGAACCATCCCGCTGGACAGGTTTGCGCCATGCCTATGGGCTGGACCTCCGAGAACGTCGCAGTGGACTACAGCGTCACCCGTGAGGAGATGGATGAGTTTGCTGCGCTTTCATATCAGCGCGCTGAGAAAGCGCAGAAAGAGGGACGCTTCGAACCAGAAATCGTCCCCTTCATCGCTCCAATAGTCGATCCCAGGACTGGCGAGCGCACCGTGCACGTCGTAACAAAGGACGACGGCATTCGCTATAGCACCACGAAAGAGTCATTGCTGAAGATACGCCCTGCCTTCCCTCAGTGGGGCCGCGCTCAGACTACTGGTGGAAACGCTAGCCAAATCACTGATGGTGCTGCAGCTGTCTTGATGATGAGGCGGAGCAAGGCAGAAGAACTTGGTTTGAAAATTCTGGGAAAGCATGTTACTACAGCGGTTACCGGCGTTGCTCCTCGTGTCATGGGCATTGGTCCAGCATATGCCATTCCCATGGCGCTGTCCCTTGCGGGCATCACTAAGGATGATGTCGACTTGTATGAGGTGGGTCTCGGGGAATAGGCTGGCTTAAGGCCGCGGGGCTAAAAGGTTATTTGACAGATTAACGAGGCATTCGCGTCGCAGTATGTCTTCTGCCTCAAGGAGCTCGGTCTTGACAAGGAAAAGGTCAACGTAAACGGCGGCGCCATCGCGTTCGGTCACCCGCTTGATAAGTCGCATTCTTTTCGCATCACGAACCTCGGCTTATCTGGTTCGGCCTTCCTTACGCTGTACAGGTACCAGACAGGTTGCCACAGGTCTGCACGAGCTCGGTCGGAGAAACGGCAAGGTAGGGCCGCGCATGTTAGACGCATGGGCACCAGCTAACGATCTCGGTGCTTCCAGGTTTTGGTGACATCAATGTGCATTGGCACCGGCATGGGCGCGGCAGCTGTCTTCGTGCGGGAATGAGAGGCCAGAAAGGAGCTCGAGCGGAGATGTCACGCCGTCTGCCCCTAAGTGCCGCCTCATCCGGAAACATTCGCCATCATGCATTCCCCGACGACCTGGTCTGTACTGTAGCTATTGAGTGAATACAGGCATCATGGTCGAGCCGTCTAGCTCGCAACGGGCACTAGGAATTTTCTCTAAAGCTGACTCTGCGCTGAGGAAATACTATAATCAAGAGGGGATGCCGAGTGCCGGCGGGCCAAGAATAGACAGACAACCGAAGGCGACTACAAAAGCGCGAGGCGGGCGCTTTCCATCGTTTCCATCGTTCGACATCTTTTCTCCCCTTCACCACCCTTTCCAGCCCACTGCGTGCCTCTCCTTCCGCTCCTTTATAATCTGTAGGGGCACAGCAGTGCTATGGCCCCAAGCTACCACAACGCTAACTCTCCATACGGCTCCGGCGACCCATATTATAACGAATCGTCTGGATATATCACTCCCATGCCTGCCAAGAAGCGCACCAGCAACTGGATCAAGTTCGGCATCCCTGTAGCCATCTGTGTCATTGTTGCTGCCGTCGTGGGCGGTGTCGTTGGAAGCCGGAACCATAACTCGAGCTCCTCGAGCGTGTCTGGCGCAGCCGGTGGGTCGTCGTCGGGCGACCAGGCCGCCGCATCCGCCAGCTCAGCTGCCTCGGTGAAGAAAGCCATCGGCATATTCCCGACAGGCACAGACAGCCTGTATCTCCTTCCTCTGTACCCCTCAACAGTGAGCCCTCCCCGCTCCTGACGTCTACCAAGCGTCTAGTCCTCACATGTCTTGTATTTTTCAGACAAATACTGCCGCTTTCACCACCCCCACCTTCTCCACCGATAGTGCACTTTTGTGGCCTGACGACCCCTTCCAGCCATCTAATCCGAGCCCAACGAACGTACGACCAGACCGGCCGCGTCTCATCGCCCCAACGTACAAGTGGCAAGTCCTTTCCCAGCGCATTGCGACCGATCCGTATCTCTCGGAATGGAACGATACGATTTTCGGCAACGCGACGGCGTGGTCTAACCTCGAGCCCGTCCAGTACTTCATGGACGGCTCCAGTGGTATCCTTGATAACTGTCGTTATGTGAAGGAACGGGTAAAAGCTTGGTCTTATGCCTATCGGATGACGAACGACACCAAGTGGGTTAATCGTACGTGGACTGAACTGCAGGTGAGTTGTGGCCAGTATGTCGTGCGATTTGATAATTTCTTACGGCATCATTCAGTACGTTGCCGGTCCTGACTTCGGCCCCAATAACTCTACCAAATGGAATCCCTCCCACTTCCTCGACACCGCCGAGATGACTGCTGCGTTCGGTATTGCCTACGACTGGCTTTACGACGTCCTCACCGCGGACCAGAAGAGCACCATTCTACAGAACATGCTTACCTACGGTCTCAGCCAGGGTGTCCACGCGTACCAGAATGTTATCAGCGGCGACTTCTCCGGTTGGTGGGCGAACAATATCACCGGTAACTGGAACTGCGTCTGCAACAATGGCATGACCATGGGTGCACTTGCGATATTAGGAGACGATACGAGTGGCACCGCCGAGCAGATCCTTGGCTATTCCATCCCCAACGCCTTGACTGGCTGCGCGCTAGCCATAACGGACGACGGTTCCTGGACGGAAACCGCAAACTACTGGTATTTCGGTACCACCGGTCATGCAGAGATGGCCTCCTCTCTCATGACAGCTGCCGGTTCGGATTTTGGTCTCTTCACAGTCAACCCATCCATCAACTTAACCGGCTTTTACCACATGCATACTTCCGGTTTCGGCTCTCTCTTCAATTACGGTGACCATGGCCCCAACAAGTACAGCTCTACTGCCAACAGCATGTTCCTGTACGGCGATCATTATCAGCAACCTCAGTACATGCTCTTCCAGCGTGACCAGCATGACGCTCCCGACCCATGGTCGATGTTCTGGTACGACATCACGGCCTCTGGCGCATTCTGGGATGGCCTGTCCCTCGATCGCTTCTTCGACAACCAACTCGACCAGTGGGCCGCTTTCCGCAGCTCCTGGACCGATGAGAATGCTCTGTACGTCGCTATCAAGGCTGGTCAGCTCCAGAACCACCAGACGCACAACGACCTCGACTTGGGTGACTTCGTCATCGACGCCCTTGGCACACGCTGGGCTGGTGAACTTGGATCCGGAGATTACAACTCCATTGGGTACTTCTCGAGCGATGATCAGGAATCGCAACGGTGGTTATACTATCGCAAGCGCACCGAGGGCCAGAATACAATTTTGGTCAATGAGCTGAACCAGAACGTCAACGCGGAACCCAAGATCGTGAACTCTGGTAGTACTGGCGAGGCACAGGGCTCGAGCACTGTCTACCAAGTTCCCGACCAGTCCACCGCCTTCTGGGTCGCTGACCTTACCAGCGGTTATAACGACACGTGAGTACATATACTACAACTTATCTGGCGCTTGTCTGACATCGTTCTGCAGTACATCTTTCCTGCGTGGTATTCGTACTTTGAACAAGAGGCAGCAGGTGCTGCTCCAGGACGATATCACCACATCTCAGCCCATCATGTGGCGTATGCACACTAATGCGACGGTGACCATCGCTGCAAACGGCACGACAGCGACACTTCAAATCGGTGACAACACGATGCAAGTGCAAATCCTAAGTCCGAGTAGCGGCGCCACGTTCGCTACAATGGATCCCGTTCGCTTCCCTGACGATCCTCCTCTTCCCGCCGGCGCCGTCGACTCTCCTAATCCTGGTGTCACGGTTCTTACCATTAGCCTCAGCCCGGGTACTTACAGTCTGCAAGTCCTCTTCAACCCCATGTGGGAGGGCATGTCGGCAAGTGACTTTGTCACGCCGCCGTCTGTCCCCCTTGATCAGTGGACGCTGACCAGCCACAACTGAACGGACAGCATTTCGGACAGATAGACTGATCGAACATTAACTTCATGACGTCTCTTTCTTCCTGTTTGAAGGACCTCTGACGCCTCGTTTCGATGTCAGTATTACTAGCACTTTTCTTTCGCTTCGGTCTCGCTGCGCAGGTAGGTACGCTTCGAAGTACTGTAGGGAGATTTGCAGCCGCGTAATGCATATACCACTACAATCAATACTACCACGAGCATCACTGCGTGCACGTCAGAGGGTGTCTGGCACCGTTCGTTCGCCGACGGTAGGGAGGGACAAAGCATGGGCGCCTGTGGCTGACAGGTGGTGTAAACTGATGGCTACGGCTTCATGTTGCCTTGGTTTCTTCAACTGCTCATCTCCCTTCCGCTCCGCTCCTCCCCTGCACGCACGCCCTGCAGTCAAACCGTGTCCACTCTTTTTTGCTCGCCTTCCTTTGTCCCCACGGCTTCCAAGAAAAACGCTTGACAATATTGAGCAGGGCCCCCAACTCTAACTCTATTCCTCTCGTAAGCCCTCGTTCTTTCCCCACATTATCCTTGCTTTCCGTTCTCATCTTGCTTTCTCACCTGGCTGGTCCTCGTCCCTCGTCCTGCGCATCGCTTGCCCCGCCTTTTGCTGCTTATCCCCAGAGACTTTCTATTTCACGTACAGCGCCAACATGTTCGTCTCCAAGCCTCGCAAGGTTTCCCTCACACTCTTTTGTTACCTCGCCTTCGTTCTGGCCATTGTCACTGTCGCACAGGCCGACTCAGCCCCCCACCCCATCGCTGCGCGCGACCATGTCTACCTGAACCGCATGATCAAGAAACGTGCATCTATACTAGGCGACTTACTCCCCGGTACGAATGGTGCAGCAGGAGACCCGCCTACCCTCAGCGGCACCACCACGACTGGCGCTGCTACGACTAGTTCAAGCACCGCCGCATCTTCCGCTGCCACGAGCCAGAGCTCGCCTGCTACTTCTGCCTCAAGCAGTGCGACCAGTGCCAGCGCGTCGCAGACTTCCGCGTCCTCAGTATGTGACAGCTCCCAGAAATAGATGTCCTCGGCGATGTTAACATGCCCACAGAGTGCTGTTTTGTCCTCGTCGTCCTCGTCCTCGTCCGCGAGCAGCTCTGCCGCTACCTCGTCTACGCAGTCGTCCTCGACTTCCGCATCGAGCACCACCGCATCGACGACTAGTACTGTTGCTCAGCCGACAAATACCCCAGATACCCCTCCACAGCCTGTCACAACGTCGAGCGGCAGCACCGACAGCACCGACAACACCGACAGCACTGACAACACCGATGCCGACGCAACGAACTCCCAAGGTCGTGTTACCCACACAGTCACATCCTCCCTCGCCGATACCACCAGCACCGGTTCTGCTCAGCCTGTATCTGGCGCGACGTCAACGTCGACCAAGGCGGGCCTCACCGTCTTGATTGTCATCGCGTCCTGCGTCGGTGCTATCGCGGTCGGCTGGACTATCATCCGCAAGTGGAAGTTCAAGCCCTCGACCAGCTTCGAGGACCGCATGGCTCCGATCGACTGGCAGCCCTCCACCGGTGCCCCAGACGACGACATCCCCGGACTCCGTCGCAACCCTTCCTCCGCTTCGCACGGCTCCTTCCACTCCTCTGGCCACAGCGAGGAGAGCTACGGACACGGTAGCAACAACGGTTACGGCGCTGGCTACGGTGCCCAGCACGGTGTCTCTACCCTCCAACCAGTCCCAGACCACGACTTCACTGCTGGTCCGACGACGCTTGCGCCTGTTGGCGGCTACGCCGACCTTGCGCGCGGTCCTTCGCCGGGCCCCCAGATGACGGAGCTCCAACGCGGTCCCAGCATGAACAACGGCTACGGCGCGACTTACGGCGGCCGATACTAAGCCTAGGGCGGCCCTTCAGTGCGGTAGTAGATGTTGCCAGCACTCAGGAAGTGGCTGAAGAGACATGCTACCGCCGCTTTGGAAGTTTGTATGGATATGTTGCTTGAACGAGGTCTTGAAGTTTGAGAGGATCCCTACCTTCATATACCACGGACTGCCGCTCTGCCTGCACACTTGACCCAGTCTTGATCTGCAGACGAGCGTCCGTCCGGCCTTCTTTACCTCCAACTGCTTACTTCCTTAACGCTTGTCTTGGCTCGGCCTTACTTATGAATATTGTTTCTCTTCATCTGATGCTTGTTTTTACTTCTCTTCCACAAGCACTCGTCATCCGCTGGTCGATCCCGTAATCTCTATTGCTTTCACGATGTTTGCAACCTGTTCTAGCGTTTTATGTTCCACCTGTGCGTACACACAAGACCTTGTTCTGTTCGGTATCATGTTATTAGGATCGGTCGACCCAATCGTATGTGTGAGTGTACTACTCCGTAGCAGTGTAAGTTCCTTCTGTACATTGCGTTCAGGCCAATACATCGGCTTCCTCATCGTCTTCGCCGTCTTCGCTACCCTCGTCGTCATCGCCACCGCCAAAATCAAGAGCCGCAAATCGGCTCCTGCCCGTGGAGACGAAGGTCTCATCGCTAAAGTTCTCATCATCCTCATCCGCGTCGTCACTGAGCGCGCCGAGCGTCTCTTCGTCGTCGCTCTCGGGTGCATCCGTGGCGTGCATGTGCGCCTCGTCCTCGCTATCACTGATCTCGAGCGCGTCGCCGTCGTGGCTGTGGGAGACGATCCAGATGCCCGCGCCTGTGGCAGGCTCCTGCTGATGGACCTGCATCCGCACCGCCTCCTCGTCCTCGTGCATCACGCTGCTGCTACTGCTGCCGGTGCCGCTGCTTTCCGACGGTGGCGAAAACGCCCACTTGATCCTGCCCTCTGCGAGCATGCGCAGGACTGAATGGGGGGCGAAGCATCATATGAACATCAGCACAGCCCTCTCCCGGAGACGCGCGAAAAAGAAAACAAAGGAGCCGGGTTTTGGCACGTACTGTAGTTACCGGCACGGTTCACGTCTGGCCGTCCCGCCTTGGCTGTCACCCAGCCCTTCTTGAGGGCGAAAGCGGTCAGGATGTCCATCGCCGTCCAATCGGGCGCCTTGCGCTGTTGCTGTTGCTGTTGTTGGTGCTGGTGCTGCTGTTCGGCGCCGCGCGGCTCACGCCATGTGCGTTTGTCGTCCGCCGGCGCAGCCTTGGCGGCGGGATGCTCCAACTCGAGGATGCGCTCGAGGGGGAGGAGTTGAGCGGCGTGATAAATGCAGAGAGGGACTGCGGAGACGCGGGAGATTGGGAGGACGCCGCTGAGAACCTGTGGTGCAGAGTGTCATCTTGGCTGGTCGAGTCTAATGAAAAATAGGTGCTTGATGCTTACCTGGGTCTCCATCGGAACCAGGTTGGGCATGACCAGTCCTGGACAGTCGACCAGCCGGACCTCATGGGTCCAGAAAAGTGTCTGGAAATGCTTTGTCTACAAGCGTAATTCGAAACTTTTGTTAGCCTAAGCGGAAATTGATGGATGAAGCGTACTTTTCCAGGTGTCTTCGAAGCTCTAACTTTTGGTGTGCCAAATAACGCGTTGAGCAGAGAAGATTTTCCGACATTGGGCTGACCTGAAATAATATTATCACGCAATGTACATACATACACGGTAGGCCATACGTGCCTATAAGTCCAATCGTCAAGAACTCTGGCTCTACATCGTCCATGCTGTCCACATCATCGTCTCTCGTTATTCCTGCTTCGGTCTCGGACGACCCAGCTGCTGCATTTTCTTGAACACGAGGAGCAGCCACGCCACCCACCGCGGCGCCGACTTTACCTCCGCGGGCATGCAGGACAGCCTCCCAGTCGATCTCCCGCTTCACGGGTGCCGTCCACGTCGCGACCTTCTCGGGCATGTCTCTGATCCTCTCGGGTGGTTCGAGGAGCTCAGCATGCGTCTCCCGCAGCGCATCCACAAGCGTCTGGCGGAAGGCTGACGGCAGATGGGACTCGTATACCCTCCGGGCGCCGCCCACAGCTTTCTCTGTGTACGACTCCACCTGGACGACCCGAAGGTGGGGATGCTGGCACTGGAGATGCACGGTCCACGCCTGTGCCCGAGCAGCACCGGCGATGTCGACCTTGGTGAGGACGAGGATCGTCCGCTTCCGGGAGAGGTGTGGCGATGCGAGATAAGATGCGAGCGACGGTGGGTAGTGCAGCAGGGGGCAGCGTGAGTCGAGTAGGACGAGGACGATCTGTGAGATCTCCGTCACACGCCATCTGTAGCAGGGGTGAACATCAGCAGCGCGAGTGATGGTGGACGAACGGGGCTTTGCACTCACAGCTGTCGCCAGACCTCGAGGTTGCGCTCGAAGTTTGTGGGTGCGCTGGGCATACTCTCACCCGACTCAGTCTGCACGCTGTCTGGAGGCTTTTGCTCGCTCCAGGTGTTGACAAGCTCGTCGGTCTGGTCTATCCATTTTTTGAAGAGGCCCTCTTCGTTTTTCTCGACCTCCTTCTTGGACATGTCGTAACGCCATTTGGGCCTTCTAGGGCACGTCAGCTGCCGTTGTACATCGTTCGCGTGATGGTCAGACGAGGCCACGGAAGGAAATCCATCATGCCAGACAGCCGCTTCCGATGGAATGGGGCGCCCCAGCGGGAGGCTGGCCGAGAGCCGTCTGGTGTCCTCGAGAAAGGCTTTGGGCAGCTTCACGAACGCAGACTGCAGCCTGCGCGAGGACTCGGCCGCAGCGGAGTCGGGCTCGGACTGCTGGGGGCGGACGGGTCGCTTGCCCTTGCGGTCGTGCTTTGTCGAGGGCGGTGGGGGCTCGACGTCACCGCGCTTGATGGCGCGTTTCTGCTGGAGCTGCTCCTTCTTCTGCTTTGCAGAGTGCGGCTTGCGTCGTGGCATCGCTGTCGGCGTTGCACGGTGCTCGCGGGTGCGCCGACGAGGACGAGTGTTACGTCTATGACGGATGTCGGCCTGGGGACTTGTCGCGCAGAGATCTGGCGATCATCTGTGGGCGCCTGGGTGGGAGATGGGAGCTCAGGAAATATTCCTGTTGTGGAAGTCATTGACCTGAGTGATCCTCGGTGTGCATGCAGGGAGCCTCTTTTCGTCTGACGGCGTCCCAGAGGCTGATATCCCTTGATATGTCCCCCTCCCTCTCTCCCCCCACCGTCCCCCATCCCGTCTTCCGTCCCCGATGCCGGTTGCCACCACCACATACTTTCAGAACTCACCAGAACGTCCGAGCTACAGCACCAGCCCGCCCTCTCCGGACCGCAAGCGATCCACAAAGCGCGAGGACAAATGGATCATACAGCACGGCTCAAAGCTTCACTCCCTGGGGCGCGACAAGGCCCCCTATCCCTTTTCCTATAACCGCGAAGTCCTCGATATGTAAGCGTCAGAGTCCGGTGTCTGTTCCAGCTGACCGTGCGCAATAGGTCATGCACCGACCACGCGTTAATGAACCGGCTAAAAGGCTCCGTGAGCTTCATTAACTTCAAAGGCGATCCTCCAAGACGCTGTCTGGACTTGGGCACCGGGGTGCGTCTGCTTTCGCTCCGCCTTTCCGCGCGCTCACAGTTGCTGCGCAGCTCGGCGACTGGGTCGTCGACGCGGCCAAGGAGTGGCCCGACTGCACATTCGTGAGTGTACTCCGGCACGGCCTGTCCGCACCCTAACCCGACGTCAGGTCGGCTATGACCTCGTCAATGTCCAAATCCCGCTGTTCGCTCTCGAGGACTCAATAGCCTCGCGAATAGAATGGGTCCATGGGAACTTGTGGGTCGCTTATTACGTTGCGGCGGAGGCAATGCTCCTGACATTCCCCGTGCAGCTTGCGACAGAAACTCCCGTTCGACGACGACGAGTTCGACCATGTGCACATACATGGGCTCGCCTTTGCAGTGCCGGAGAACAAGGTAAGAGCTACGTATGGTTTACCGCAGACCAACGTGTAATGTACCTGTGTTCGCTTCTAGTGGCATTCACTATATCAGGTGAACACAGCCGCAGTCCACTGTCTTCCCAGCTTCTAGAATGACGGCCCTTTTAGGAAGTCTACCGCGTACTGGGGCCAGGCGGCACTGTGGAAGTTATCGAGGAAGGTCGGTGCCTTGGCATCTCGGAAAACTGATGTCCGGTGTTCGTATGTCTAATTCTTCCATCATCTAGATGCGATATTCCCAACGCTCCCGCGATGGTTCACGGCCCCCCTGAATGCCCCCCTACCGCGAGCCCAGATGGGTCCTGACGACAGCGTAGAGGAGAGCGCAATAGCAAGATTGCCGGTGCCTTCTAGCCTCCCTCATGACCACGCTCTGTTGGAACACCTATTTTGTTCTGTATTTCACAGCCGCTTCCTGAACCCGACCCCGAGTTGTGGGTACCCTTCACTTACGCTTCTTTTTCGCCATCACGCTCATAGTGTGCCTTACCGACAGCGACACTTCCGAGCTACTTCACAGCGTTTTTTGGACACGTCCTTTCTCCGCCGGTCATCAACTTTCCGATGCCGCCCATCGCGCCGCTGCAGCTGACGCGGCCGGGGGCGATCCAGCCGGGCGAGCCGCGGCGGCTGTCGGACGCGTCGGAGTGCACGAGCAGCAGCAAGCGGTCGAGCTTCTCGACCGGGTCTTCGGAGCTGACGGGGTTCGGATCAAAGAGGACGCGGCAGGAGCGCTCGGAGTCGGTGTCGACGGCCGCGTCGTCGGTCTCCATGGCTACCTGTCTCGCAGCGGCGGCGGCCGGTAGTGGGGGCGGGTGCACATGTCGCGCGCAGCACATGGCGGCGTACGTGCAGGAGGAGGGGACGCGGATCGGCGGGGCGGCGGCCGTCGAGCTTTTTCCGGTGTGCAACGTGTCGGGTATGAACGAGCACACGCTGTTCTTCCAGCTCCGGCGGGCGGTCGGGCAGGTTCTGGCCGTGAAGGAGGCGATGTGGGAGGAGCTCAAGGAGAAGATCGAGAAGGACGGGCATGCGCTGCTCGCGTACGGCTGGGAGCCTGCTGACTTTGACCCGGAGTCGAGTCGGCATAAGTTTGATGCCATGCTTGAGCAATACAAGAAGTAATCTTTCATCTCTGCCGGTTTAGGGGTACACTGACACAGCCTTCAGTGACATGCAGATCCGAATGTCTCTCTGGCACGCGGTGGAGAAGACTGCTGGCTGGAAGGCACCGCGGCGAGATCCTCTCTCGAAACCGGAACTTCTTGAACAGAAACGCTTGCGGGAAGCCATCGTCCTCGCACAACAATCTGGCAAGGTTCAGGACATGGGTGGACCATGTCGTTCATTACGCCTGTTGACAGGCGTCAAGGTTGTATAAACTCTGCATACCCCCACGGACGCTTGCCTGCACTCGGCCCTTCTCATCACCTGTACTGTCACCCACTCTTCTGCTGTCGTCATGATTTATACCTCCCTTGTTGTATGTCTTAGCATTACCCCTGTACTCTTCGCTGACGTTGTACTTGCTGTGTCGTATGCAATTCGCGCGCTTGTCTGGGCTTTGTGGCGCTCGGAGATCACGCTTCTTGATCGTCTTTGTGGCGTCGTCGGGGAGTGTTTGCTCCGAATGTTCACGGGTGCGACAGCCACGGGCGGCCTGCTCGGTGAACGGAGCGCAAGACTCGCGCTGGCAGGGGAAGCACAAATATCGCGATGGAAAGACATGAGGGAGATGTAGAGCGAGTGATGCGAACAAGAGTCCCTCTGATTCGAAACGAGGCTGGGTCGAAGGCACCCCAGAAAATAAGCTCGGGCGATGGCTGACCGACGCCAGCTGATGCCGATGGCGCGCACTGCCAGCCTCGATACATCGCCAGCATCGTGCAAAAGCGCCCTTCCTGGGCTGGCAGGGGACGCCAACATCGTCTCTGTCTACCACAGCCTACCCGAATGCCTTTGTCCTCCTCAACAAACGACGCCTCTCGACGCCGCTCCTCAGACACATTCTATGTTAAAGCCAGCCCGGTGCCAGGCCCATACGACCCACAGGCGACTCCGAGGGCGAAGAACAGTTCTGGTACCTTTCTGCGCCCCGGAGTGGGCGACAACGCCCTCCTGCGCCGTCGCTCGACAGCCTACTCTCTGGCAGATGAGGACAAGGACGAGCACGAACGGAACAGCCCTGGACGTCCGCATCTAGCAACAGCCAAGTCGGACCGCAGCATCGCCTTCGTGCCTTCGACTCCCCGGCCCAGACTAGGCAGAGCGACGAGCAGCGCGGGCCGCGTGCCGTCGCTCCGGAGCAGCGAAATCCGCGGAGTCGAGAGTCCTGCGACGCCCAGCTCGAGCAAGCAGCCGGATCCTAACACACCGAAAATTAGCTACAAGCAGAGGGTCAAGTTGCTGAGGAGACAGAGTCGCGAGATTTTCGAGCACGTCGAACGTGAGTGCTCTTGTTTTTACATTTCGTACTAACTCATCCACTTGCGTTGGCACTCAGCATACGAGGACCGCATCAACTTCATCCTCGTCCTCGCCCAGACACTCCTCGCCTTCGGTGCTCCCTCCCACCGCATCGAGTCCCAGCTCCAGTCCGCCGCCGACATCCTCCAGGTGAACGTCAGCTTCGTGCACATGCCGAACCTCATCATCGCCAACCTCATGGACCGCGGTACCGTCGTCTCCGAGACGCGCTTCGTGCGCGCGAGCGGGCGCATCGCGCTCACGTCCCTGCACCGCGTGCACCTTGTCTACCGCGACGTGCTCCACGACAAGGTCGGCGTGCGTGAGGCCACGGACCGCCTCCGCAAGCTCCTGCGCGCGCGCGCGATCTACCCGAACTGGATCCGCTGCGCGTACGCGTTCATCTGCGCGTCCATCATCTGCACCACGGCCTTTGGCGGGTCGCTGCTCGACATGTTCATCAGCGGCGCCGGCGCGTCGGTCCTCCAGTTCCTCGGCTTGAACGTGGCGACGAAGAGCGCCATGTATGCGAACGTGTACGAGTGAGTGCGATATCTTACTCACATTGTGAGGCCCGCCTGACGTATTTTCCAGGATCTCGGTCTCGATCATCGTGTCGTTCATGGCTCGGGTCCTGGGCACGCTGCGTGGAGACTGGTTCTGTTACAGCTCTATAGCGTCCGGAGGGGTGGTGCTCATCCTGCCCGGCTTCACGATCCGTTCGTGGTCTTCTTCCTCAGCGATCACGGGCTGCTAACCTTCGCACAGTGGTCAGCGCCCTGGAGCTGACATCACGCAATATTATGTGCGGTTCTCTGCGTATGGTGTATGCGTTTATCTACACGTTATTCTTGGCGAGTGCACATGATCTGCCTCGGCCTTCGGTGGCTTACCTTCCCTGACAGGGCTTCGGGCTCAGCTTCGGCTCGGACTTGTACCTCGCTATCAGCAAGTACGGACGCCACAACCTCGCCCGGACTGCGGCAGAAGAGTCGCTCTTCCTGCACGGCAGCTTTCTCAGCAAGAACATGTCCGCGGAGGTCACGGACCTGCCCGGAAGTTTCGGGTTCCTGGACACGACGAGCTCGAACGAGTTCCTCATCAGAGGTCGGTCCCCGTTATCACACCGCTCTCTCCCCGAACGACGGGCACACGCTCACGCGCGCGTTTTCCGTTTTGCCAGGCTGCTATCGCGACCCGTCCTGGCCGTGGTACCGCCAGCCGTTCCCGTGGTGGACGCTCCTCTTCCTCGTGCCGGTGTACGCGACGTGCTCCTCGCTCGCGAACCTGCAGCGCGTGCGCAGCATGCAGCTCCCGGTCATGGTCGCCTTCGCGTGCGCCGCGTACGCGACGACCAAGGCCGTCACGCTCTACGTCTCGGACCACCTCTCCGTCATCTCCGCCGCCGGCGCCGTCGTCATCGGCCTTTGCGGCAACATCTGGTCGCGCCTCGGCGGCGGCACGGCCTTCACGTCCATGATCACCGGCGTCCTCTTCCTCGTCCCGGTGCGTACGGCTCGCTACCATCATTAGTCATCGAGATCCTGACATGCAGATGTGTGCTCACCAACCGGGCACGTTCGGACAGTCGGCCATCGGCAGCGGCGGCGGCCTCATCTCCAACTACCGAACCGCGGCCGAGCAGTACTCTGACACGTTCCAGCTCGGGCTGCGCATGATCCAGGTCGCGTCCGGGGTCACGATCGGCCTCTTCGTCGCGCAGATCCTCGTGTACGCGCTCGGGCGCCGCAAGAACGCGGCCTACTTCGCTTTCTAACCTCAGGCCTCGGACTGGTTTCCCCTGTACTCAGTACTATACGACAGATATATTACACAGAGTAATAACGTTACGATAGTCCTCGTTTAATCTAAGAGAGCAGAGCAGATCGAATAGCTACATGGTGCAAAGCAAGATATAGAGACATCCCAAGTGAAAAGTAAAACGAACACGACAGACAAAAATGAGTGGCTTAGCCGCCGAAGAGCTGGTTGAGCTCCTCCATGCGCCGCTGAAGGATCTCGGCCTTGCTGTAGTTCTGGCTCAGCGTCATGTTCGCCAGCTCGGTCTTCTTCCGCTGCACGGCGAGCAGCCGGTCCTCGATCGACTTTTCGATGATCAGCTTGACGGTCGTGACCGGGCGAGTCTGGCCAAGTCGATGCTGCACGCGGTGATCGTCAGCAACCAGTAAAAAAGCGGAGGATACAGTGCGGCGGGAGGAAACTTACGATACGGTCGACGGCCTGGTTCTCCACTGCAGGATTCCAATACGGGTCCATGAGGTACACCCGTTGGGCTGCCGTGAGGTTGAGTCCGACACCTCCAGCCTTGAGCGACACGAGCAGGACCTCGCAGGCGGGGTCGTGCTTCAGGGCCTCCATTGCGCGTGTGCGCTCCTCGCGCTTCATCGTACCGTCGAGGCGGTCGTACTTGATGTTCGCAGCCTCGAGCGCGTCCTCGATCTTGTCCAGCATCGACGTCCATTGCGAACTGCCAAAAGGTTTTCAGCCGCCAGAGCTGCGAGAGTGAAGAAGAGCACGACTTACAAGACCACAGTCTTGACGCCGCCATCGTCAATGTTGTTGCCTTCACTGTCCACCATCTGGACGTCGACCGAGGTCGGGTCGTAGTTCGCCGAGTGCGGGTTCCCCCTCGAGGACTGTATGAGGTCCGCGAGGAGCGCACGTATCTTGGTCGACATCACCAGGTTGTCGAACGTCGCGACGCCCTTCTGCCGCTGCACACGTTTCGCCGGCTTCTTCTTCGCGAGCCCGTCCGCGAGCGCGGTCGGCACGAAGCCAACCGCGTCGTTCGGAGCGAGCGGCGCCTGACACACCGCGCAGGATCGCTTCGTGTCCGGCTGCACGTTCGGCCAGCCCGGGCTGCACGAATTGCGGAAACAGCCCACGCAGAAGAGGTGCTGGCAGCGGGTGATGATCGCGTGCGCAACGTTGGAGGGACTGTTCTGACGCGTGGATGCGCGCGACGCTGCCGCGGTCTTTGGCTTGCGCCCCCGCCTCGCTGGCTCGCTGTCACAGGACCCGCAAGCGTCCTCTGCGTCCTCGGACGGGATGCCTAATTCGTACCCGCAGTCGACGCACTGGGCTGTACCAGCTTCGCGAAGGAGTGAGAACACCGCTGCCGCACGGTTCATGTCGATGCCCTCCTTGCTGATGACCTTGGTGAGTTCCTCCCAGTTCGGAGCCTCGCCAGACTGAAGATCGCCGACGAGACCGAGACCCTTGTTCATGACGAGCTCGTAGTGGTCGCAGATCTGGCGCAGACGGAGGATCTTCTGCAGGATACCGACGTAGTTCTTCATGACCTCATTCTTATTCGACAGCTCTTTGAATTCGGCCTTGGATTCGTTGAAGAACTGATCGTAGATTGATTGCTCATGCTCGTCGAACTTGAGGAACCTGAGTTCATCACGACGTGGCGGTAGATCGAGGATCTTCTGGCCGTTCTCGGCCTTGGACTCCTTCGTCCGGCGGAGGGTTACACACCGCATGATGCTTTGCAATCGTGCAACCCCAAGGACCTGCCCGTACTTTACAGGGCTGCCAATGTACTCCGTCCAGACTGCCTTCTCGTCAAAGGGCTCCAGGCGCAGGAATTTGAGCAGCGCGTAGACGTCATCAAGCTTGTTCTGGACTGGAGTACCGGTCAAGCAGAGACGACGGTCGGCGATCAAATCGCAGCAGGCGCGACACGCGACCGTGCTGACTTCCTTGATCGAGCTGCAAAGGTTGTCAGCGAACTCGAGCGTAAAAACCAGGGCAGCGGTGCTTACTGAGCCTCGTCAAGCACTACCCTTAACCAATAGACGCTCTGCAGAGGACTGCTCGCTTCCACGGCGCTCCCGCAAGCGGTCTTCTTCCTCTTTTTCACTACGGCTTTTTTAGGCTTCGGCAGCTTGATAATCTGGTTGCCTCGCTCGTCGGTCTCGACACAGCCCTCACCACTGCTGCCTTCTTCATCGTCTTCATCAGCACACTCTGAGCTCTTCGCCTGTTTGGAATATTCCACGGCGAGCGTTGAATACGTCGTAATAACCGCGTCAAAGTCCGCTAAGAAGGTGGGATCCGGCTTCCTGGCGTTACCATGGTAGACGTAGACGCGGAGTGGCTTGCCCTCGCGTACACGAGGAGCGACCGCCTTAGCTTCGGGCAGACAAGAAGTAGAGGGCTGGGAAGGAGACGGTGCTGGAGGCACAGCGGGTGCCGCCGTCGTCGAGCAAATTCCCCCAGAACCTCCCACAACTTCCACTTCACCACGCCAATGCTCTCGGAACTGCTCTTCCCAGTTAGCAACCGTGGAAAGGGGGCACACGATAAGGGTCGCACGCGACCTGGTCTTCAACCGACACATGCGCGTGTATTCTGCCTCCAGCTTGTCGTTCTGTTTCGCCGCCTTCGCTTTACCCTTCCCGGAAGTTGGTTCGACCGCAGGTAGGGGCATACCCCAAACGCTACCGGAAAAATGCTCGGGATTCAGGGCGGATTCGGGCGGCTGAGGTGGGTCCAGTGGCGTGGCCGCGAAATTCCATGCCGACTTCAGCGTAGCAGCAATGAGAGCCACACAGGATATGGTTTTCCCCAAACCCATCTAGACATGACGTCGTTAAGCATGAATACACCAAACAGACTAGCCATACGTACATCGTCTGCCAAGATAGCACCCTTGGTTGGCGGTGGCTCTTCAAAGAGCTCCTTCTGCGTGATGAGATGATGCCATGAGCGTTCTTTGCTGATGGGATTGTACCGTTCCTGCCAGAGGGAGCTGCTCGTCGCTCCGGGCCGCTCGCATTCGCGCTCAAGCAAGAAGGTGAGAGCCTTCTTCTGGTGCGGATAGAGCTTCGTAGCTATCTCCGGGGCTGGTGAGCCAAATTAGTCAGCAACAGTGTCACCGAACCGCGAGCATTTGAGTTAAACCACGTACGAGGGTCGGTCTCCGGCAACTCTTCTCCGTCCTTCATACTCTTGAATAGCTCATCCACTTGACTTCTCTGCACCTCCACACTCTTCCCCATCCTGTCTAACCGTCCTACACTGCCACCAGCATTTCCTGGGTAACTGAGAAGGGCTTGTCTATGGCCGCCCGGAGGGGGATTATGAGGGTTGTGATAATACTGAGTGCGCAAACGCTGGACATCTGACGGCAAAGACGGGTGGTCCAAGAATAAACCGCGGGAGTGGAGATAATTGGCCACCACAATGATGTTACCTTTCGGTGTGAATACCAGAAGCGATAGCGGCAGTATGGGTAACTGGTATGTCGTCAGCTGAGACACTTTACAGATGGAAAGAAATGTACGTTTGGAGGGCCTCTGCGGACTTTCCCATCTAGTCGTATCAGTCCCTTCCCCAGCATAGGGCCCAGGTAGTTGGCAACCTTCTGCTCGACCACACCAAAGTTCTCGCCTGGTATGACCTGACCATCGGGCCTGCTCATGTTCGGCGTCCGAATGTGAATGGTATCACGGTTCTCAGGTTTCGAAGCGTTATGCTCGTAATTCATGCGAACCGGCGCCCATTCCGCTTCCGCAGAATTAGGCCCGCATTGGGGTTGAAGGTATGGAACGGGATAAAGGACGAGCGCGGTCACGGTTAACTGTCCAATGCAGACGGGAGTCTTTGGAGGTAGCTCGTCCGGTAACGACGGCTGTGGCGGAGGGTTTGAGGGTTGTGCCATCTGCATGATTTGTTGAGAAGATTGCCGTGCTGTTGGGGGCGGTGACGGCGAACTGGTAAGATCTATCACCTGGCGGGGGGCAGTCGGCAGTTGCCCTTGGGATGGCTGTGGCTCTTGTGATACTCGGTCCTGTGCTGTCCGATGCGGCTGAGAACCAAGCTGAGCCTGAGGAGCAGCGAGTGCAGTAGGCACTATCTGAACAGCAGGGGTTCTGGGGAAGAAAGCGGAGGAATTGGAAGGTCCCATAAACGCAGGTCGTAATGTAGTATCAGCAGGCTGAGGGGGAGAGTTCATCAATGAACCAGACCTCGACATAGAGTACGATGGGGGATGTGATTCTGGCTGTAGAGAAGAGGAGGACATGGCGGGGGATAGGCCAGAGTGATGAGGTTGGACACGCAGGTGTCCGAGACTGTGAGCGACATCGTGGGCAGCATTGAAAGCACGGCTCTCGGAGCACATTCGTTTTGCCTTTCTATCGCATCGCGTGTAACAGTCGTTATCATTGTCGTCGTCGCCAGTGAGATCTATAGGATTGGATTGAGAATGTAGAGGAGGCGGAAAAGGTAACGGCTGGTTTGACGATGGCGGCTGCATCATGTCGGACATGGAGGAGGAGAAGGATGTTACAGACGACGGAAAGAGTGATAACAACGCCTTTGAGGACGTTATAGTCGTCGCGGAGGAGAAGGGAGTGTCGGTGGTTTCGGGAGGCCCTAACGATTTGAAGAGGTTCTGCTCTCGGAGCGCGTAAGCAAAACTATTGCGATGTTCCACGTGACAAATCAACAGAGTCCCCGGGGTACGGATCACCTAGGATAGCCCCGGCTGAGTAATCGACGTTGACTGGGGTCCGCTCTCGCGGCTTACTCGTAAAGCCAACCGCGTAGTCAACCAATGACACACTAGTTTACTTAGGTGCACCAGACACCAGCCTATTCCATCGTGTACGGGCCTGAAACACCCTGCTACCGCCGGAAATGTGGACGAGGAAGAGTCTCCGACCTGACTGACTAACCTGCCCGTTCCAGGATTACTCATGACCCACAACCTGCGCTCAAAGCCCGTGCTTTCCGCTGTACTTCCAGATATCCACATGTCTATATTGCGCAACCTTCGGCCTTGCTTTCGAGAGCTCAGCGCTCAGGCATGAGGCATAAGGTCCAGCGTACTGCTAGCACATCATAATACCCGACCAATCGTTTATCGTAAGTCTAGCCAAGGTAGACCCCTTACGATAATTCCCACCGCTCAACCTATTCATAGATGGCGTAGATCTCAGTCCAATTTACGTAGTGTCATACAATGTCGTGTCATTTTCCATGACACTTCTCGTCGACATGCTAGCTGATCTTCTCAGGAAGTTTAGAACATATCTCCGGTGTGTGGACATGCGACGCACGGTGCGGAATACATAGCCAGGAGGCTGTGATAATGAAACATCAGATATGCAGGCCGGTCGCTCGCTAGTGAGTCGCCACAGGCTCAGACGACGGATGTAGTCAATCCATCTTCAGGCTATAAGACAGCTTTCCGAGAAGTCCACGTGACGATCTACGTGATGTGCATCGTCGCAATACACTCTTGAAGAATCGATGTATCTGTATTACTGGGCGCATGCTGCACAGTGTGCCCTGCTGCAAGTGCAAGGGGTTAATGTTATGAGACGACGGTAGTTCACTTCGTTTCGGCATTCGCAGCTATGGGACCCGAAGACTTTGCAGCTTGTCCTCGGAGGCTCTATCGAGTCGTGCGGCCGGGCGAGACCATCAGGGACCAGCGGTCTCCACGGTTTGGGGTCAGGACGCACTCATTTTCCATACGAAAACCGTTCTCCGCTTACCGAAGGTTACATCAGAGTACGGGTCGTTTTGCTAGTAGCCATCACGCCTTCTGGCCCTCTTGCTGTGAGCGGTGTGCTGTTCTCCTCGGTCAATGCCGCTAAGATTCAGCCAATTCCCTCTCAAGTCCTAGTATCGGACGGTGTGTTGGTAGCGGTATGGGTGTCAGGATGTCTGCTCTCACGATGGCGACTCTGAAAAACATGCGAGAACATCTGTGTATGAGACATGGTGCATCCACTAAGCCATCTCTTCTTTCTCTTAGCCATTGGTGCTGTCCGAGTGGGAATTCATATCGACCGGACGCCGTTGGCACCGTTGGTCCCCGTGTACATTCCACTGGAGACTCATGGCCAGAAGGATTAGGATATGGTTCATATCCAGTCGTAAGGACTCCGCTCGCGAAAGTATCATTCATAGTCGGTGACAGCGTGAGACGATTATAACCCTTGTATGACGATGTGCATGGTGGTACCGGTGCTTGGAGATTTTTGGCGGACGTGTGGAAACAACCCATGGACATCCGTGGCAGAGATCCCTGCGAGAGTTCAGTGAATGGGAGAATGGGTGTGAAGCCGATGACCAGAGTGGCGCCGGCAAATATCTCATCGACTAGCCTCAAGGGATGCTAGATAATCGCTACGCCAATGGCGTGCGCATCACCAGCTGTGGCGCAAATGGCACCTCCTGGGGAACATGCACAGTGCTACAAGGTCTTTTGCAGGCCAACGGCCGTTTTCCCGGCTCAATAATACAAGGCCAGCCACACCGGCCAATGCAGTGCTGCGACATCATGTCCGCCGATGTTCGCATGCATACAGATGCGGTCCCTTATGGCGTACAGATGTCGGAAGACACTGTCATCCGATGGCGTTCCTGAAGTGTGTGTGTGCATATGTCCTCTGATTTAATGTGAAAGACTTTTGCATCGAGTGCAAGTGTTCTCCGAGGTATCGGAATAGCGACCGATCAGTCGGGGCCGTGACTCAGAACGCTGAATCCCTGCAGCATGCTATAGTTCAGCACTCTGATGACATCAGCTTTATGAGCCACACAAATGCCTATGCAAACTTTCTCCCACGTCCTGACGATCAGGTCCTAGCTGGCTGAATGCCATTTGTGAACGAACCATGAGGGCGGTGTTCGACGACCTCCAAGAGTCCTACATGGCGTGGCGTCGCAGTAGTATTCGCACCCAACCACCGCAGTACTCCACAGTCGGCATTTCCAGCTTTCTAGAGATCAATCCGGAGATTAAATCGATTGGTGGCGGTCGCACGGGCATGTCGCATGGTACCACAAGATGCGAACAGCCCGGACACGCTTTAGTCATCGCTCAGCGGAAGGGGCCCGAGCTTGCCTTGTTGACTGAGATAGCCCTTCGACTCTAATAGCGCCTGTAATTATTCCGACTGAGGAGTCTCATTGGAAAAGTAACTATCCGGCCATCTGTGACTCAGAGCGGTGCGTTTACCCGCATATTCGGAATCCCTAGTCATACCATGGTTGCACAAATGTACGTACTCCTGCCTTATCCGCAGACTATCATGCATCAAGTCTGCTGTCATGGCTACTAGACAAGATGCCAATTGGGAAAAACAAATACGGCGCAGACCCGGCGGAAGACTACAATGGTTTTGTGTGGATTGTGACACCTATGACAGAGTCATTCAAGTTGCTGACACGCCACAGCAGGTTGTCGTTGACAACTGGTCTGCCCAGATATGGGTATAATCTCCGAGGAAAGTTACGTAGTGCGAAACATCATTTAGTCGCTTAAAAATCTCAGTCAATAAGGTAGCATTGAGCGGCATTTCTAGCATGCTATATTCGCCATCTACCATAGCATCTCTATGTTTACTAAAATCTTTGTGTACGAGCAACTCCCGTTCGATTTCATGACGGAAAGATACTGCGTCACCGGTAAGTCCATCTGAGACTCACTGCAACACAGCTTGCATTGGAAACGTAAGCGTACATGCTTGGCCAGCGAGGATTTCATTCATAGCATCCTTGTGAAGGCGCCACAAACGGTACGTGGCGCTTGATTCTGGTTATACCGTACTTCCGTGGAATCTCATATGTACAGCCGGGACTTTATCCGCTGGGCATCAGCCAGATACAACTATGGGGCGATGCAAATGTCGGCGCAGGCAACATTCAGGACCTTCGTATCTTTGATAGAGGTGTGCGGCTTCCCTGTCCTGGAGGGATGAATCACCGACTGGCAACTGAGGCAGTGCATCGAACAGTCCAAAGCAAGTCCCTACTTCAAGGGTCCATTCATGATACGTAGCAGGAAATCCACCAACGCCGCCGCATGCTAATATGCACGGATCAACCAAGCCGTGCAGAAAGAACATGGACTCAATGCGCGTATGCTCCTGAAAGCATTTTATTTCGTCAGGGCTCAGGCCTTCCCGCCATCGCTACTGCGCATCGGCGAGCAGCTTTCTTATTGAATCACCTGACGCATGCACAGTTCCTTCGGGGCCCGGGCTTGTTGTATCTTCGAGGCGACCGCTTCGGGTCAGGATCTTGAGGGGGGCATGCCGAACAGGACAGTGGCGATGCGATTTGAACAGGGGGCTTGAATCGCGGATGCGAGTGGGAACGGATATGACGCTGTGCTCGATAACGGCATACTCTACACGCCGCTGGGATGAAATGGCCAGTTATACCGTCCTCATCTCGAGAGCCGCACGCCAGAAGTCAGCTGCCCTTCTTTCGGGGCCGGCCATGTCGTCCGGAGTCACGACGTCAACCGGAGGCGAGAATAGAACAGCCTGACGTCCGCCTTGGTGGATAAGAATTGTACATTTTAAAAAAAAGGCCGCAGTATGGGAAGATGGGAAGCATGCAGAGGATTCCCTGATTGCAATTGACGAGTACAGCGAAATCATGCGAGGAGTTTATGGGATGGTGCTCGAGTATTAGCGACACTCACATAAGATGATGTAACATCACGACACCAAGAGATTTATCAGGATCGCAAAGTGAAAGGTAGCGCTGCGACGATTCGATCCTCTCACGTCGCAGGGCTCCGTGCTCATCCGAATCACGCCAGTAATGGACAGTAGACACCGCCAGTCCCAGCTCGGAGAGCCCTGCCCAACATTCCGTAAGTGAAAGTGAGACCCTTCCCTGCACGCTGGCATTCTCCTGGAGCATTGCCAAGGGAGGCGAGGGCCTCACGCTCATTTACCGCTCATTGGAGGCGGAATTACCATTGTAATCTAGCCATCGAGCCATTCACGAGATCGCAAGCTGACTCATTGGCCTGATGATCCCCACTACAGCCTGGGCTGCAATGATAACCGCCAGTGCAGCTAGCTTACATGGGTAGTATGGCATCCAATTCCAATAATCCATGCAATAGTGATGTTACGAGCCTGGACAGAGTGAAGATATCAAAAATGGTTTCGGTTATGTAGTGAAGTCGCATGACTTACGCGGAGCCCAGCCCATAGCGAAATATGCCTGCCTGGCAGCTTCTTCCTTAGCAAGCTGCTTGCTGGCTCCGGAACCAGTCCCCTTCTCTATACCATTGACTGAGATGAGAGGTCAACAACCGTCCGAGACGACATCCTTATTGCTCCAGGCCACTCACCTACACACTTGACGGTCCATTTACCAGCATGCGCAGGACCGGAGAATGCTGCGGGGTACTCCACAAACATTCTCCGCTGATTCGCAGTCTGGTTGAAGAGAGGCAGAAAGGCGGTTTGAGGCTGAGCCGGTGCGAGAGGGTTAGAAATGCCGAGCGCACTGGGCATGCTAGGTAGGGGAGGAGGAGGGCCAGCAGGCGGCGGAGGTTGAGGCGGAGGGGGCATCATCGGCTCCGGCATGGCACTGAATGTAGCGTTGAAAGGAGACTGCTGTTGCTGGGGGGGCTCGATCTTGAGTTTCTTAGCGTTGTGCAGTAGATCCATGTCCATATCAAGTTGTGAAGACGGGACATAATCAGGGTCCACGAGACAACCGATCCAGTTCTGGACGACCAACATGCCGAGGGTAGCGTATACCGCGCCAACGTAGGTATTGAAGAGCAGAGCCATTTCCTATAAGAGACCCGTGAGCATCTCTGTAGAATCATATAGGACGATACGAACGTCTGGGTCGTTCAGGCCTGGAACTGCTTCAGGACTGCACCGCAGCTTGTCGCGCAGCTTGTACACGGTAGTCCATGTCTGTACGTTCTTGGGCATCAAAATATCTTTCCTTTGTTTCTAAAAACCAATTTCAAGGATTGTCTGAGGTTAGGTACTAGAGTCACACACCTCAATGTCGACGCCCTTCAACATCGGCCTCTTCCTGAACAAGGTCTCAGTGACGGCAACCTCCGCCGCCTTCTCTCCGAGCACAGCGAGCCTTTCGCCGCCGCCGTACTCGGAGTCTTGGTCGAGGGGCGCGCCGGGAAAGATGAGAGACCTATGAGTGAAAACGTCGAGGATAACGTTTCCATTGAGCTGGGGAAGCGGTGGATACTGGGCAGGCGCTGGGCTTCCCATAGTCGAGGACGATGGCGAGCGATGTCGTTTCAAAGTGGGAGGGGTTGGAGACTGCGAAAAGGGCTGTGAAGGCTTTACGGAACCTAGCGTGCCACGTGCCCGTTCAACGAAAGAAAACCGGCACCGAGATGCAAGATATGCGCACCTGGGGAAGACGAATTCCAGTGGTATGAGTCAGATTGCATGCTAAGATCCTTTACTTGTGCCTTGACCATTAAAATGCGCGGGGTATGCTGAGGGAAATTGGCAGGGAGAGCTGCCAATTTATATCTATACCGGACGCTGCGCGGTGACTTGAGCGTTCATGACAAGTTCTGCCCGGCACACTCCACGCGGCGCTCTGCCATAAATTCAGAATGAGATTAGCGCCCGAGTGACCAACATTCCGATGCGACAATTTTATTTTATTTTAAATCCTCTTGATAGTACTAGATAGTAATGAATATAACGAAGACATTGCCGTAGTATAGACTCTCTCCGAACATTATGAACGGTTGCGATTAGCCATTTGTTTCTGAAGAATCTTTTGAAGAACTTCAACGGTCCCTGATCTTGACGGGTCCTTGTGCAGCCTTCGGATTTCCCTCTGGATCCTGGTCGGAGCGTGAGCGACATGTAAAGGCAATGAGAGAGCACACTCGTTGATACCTTTCAGGCCCTTCGAGCACCGCAGGGCATTGGAGGAGAGCATGCATTGGGACCGTGCCACACACCACGCAAAACGTGGGGTTTGAACCTGAGCTTGAGCCCTCTTTGACCTTCTTTCGGGGAGGCTCAGCGGCATGTGGAGAAGGCGGCCGTCTACCTGCTCCTGTAGAGCTGTTTGATGACCCAGCGACGACGGGACGGGGCTGCGGCGGCTTGCTGGCAATCGCCTTACCGCTCAGTGCCATACCGGGCACATTCGAGCCACTGTTGACGACCGGACGAGGCTTCGGTGGTATAGGCACCGGCCTGAATGCAGTGCTATTAGCCGGGGCAGGCTGTGCACCAGTGCGGAATGCCTGCGGAGGACGAGGCGCAGGAGGATTATTTGGGCTCCCCTCGACAGGATGGAGAGGTTGACCAATAAGGAGCTTCATCTTCCCACGTTGCGCTAATGTCTCATCTATAACCGCTATGGCGGCACGCTTGAGAGCACAGTTAGCTGAGAAATTGCAAGACCGGATGAGAGCACATACCCGATCTTCTATGGACTCACCGCTGTCCACAGTCATGAGGATTCGTCGGTACTCAGCCAGGTTCTCTGAGCTCTCGGTCATGAAGCAGGGTCCGTTCTGATGTTCGAGGCCACACAATCCGCACGAGGGATCGACATCTCCAAGTGAAAGCCGGTTATGAATGGGAGATAACGGCGCAGACGAAGAAGCATGACTGCCTTGCACTGGGTCGGTATGACGAGACTTCTTCTTGTTCTGCTTCTGTTTGGCGAGCTGATCGGCAAGGCTGATGTCGAGATCGTCAGACGCTGCTCCAGAGGCAGTACTTAGTCCGTCTGAGTCGTCAATTTCTGACAGATTGAACGCGTCGTCGTCATCGGACTTGGTAGCCTTCTGCTTGCCTTTGCCCTTCTTGCCTTTGCCCTTCCCTTTGGTCGGAGTATCCGGTAAATCAAGCATTTGCTGTGACGAAGGTGAGCAGTCAACTAGCTTTCGATTGAGGCGGCGTACCTGCGGGAACACAGCTGCCGCACGCCGTCGCACTCCACGACCTGTCTCTTCTTGCGCCCGTTCTTTGGCTTGTTCCTCCACGATACGAGCCAGAGTCTGAGCCCAAGCATCTTCCTGCGCCTGCTCTTCCGCAGCGTCTTCCAAATTTTGAAAGCCATTCTTCTCTGCCTCCCAAACCTTGGCAAAGGAAAATGACGCGTTCTCTCCCGCAGCCGGCTCTTGCTGTTCACCTTCCTTCTCTGTCTTCTCGATCAGCTGCTGGATGTCATGGTCGGAATCTACGACAAAGAATCAGGACGAACATGCCATGGATGGTAAAGTGACGCCTACAGTGGATGTCCCGGGATGATTGAGTCTCGCTATCCTCAAACAGCGTCTGTGCACCGAACATCAGGATAGACTTAACGTCTTCTTCTGAGTCTTTGTCGTCCATTTTCTGTACAATAAGATGGTCTAGGACAAGCTTCTTCTTTCCGGTCTGCATGATACGCTCTTGAGGAGGGGGAGGGGGATATAAGCACTTATGGAAATGTAGGGAGTGGTACACGTACCTTCAGCGGAGTCTTTGACCATGAATTTGAAGACAAGGCAAGTCTTCTGTTGCCCGTATCTGTGCGCACGAGCAATAGCCTGTATCCTCGATAAACATCAAATGACTTCACGTATACATAGTAGAACAGACCTGGAGATCTTGGTGCGGGTTGAAATCGGGGTCAAAGATGATAACAGTGTCTGCTGTCGTCAAGTTGATACCCACACCGCCCGCACGTGTACTGAGAATATAGATGAATATGTCAGAGTCTGGCTTGTTGAACTCGTCCATATCCTTCTGGCGTTCGGCCTGTTTAGTACTGCCGTCCTATGGGGTATCAGTCAGTGCTGGCCGGCCGTTGATCAAACCAGCCACTACATACTAGGCGGAGATACTTGATCCCTTCACCGACCAGGAAGTCCTCGACCACATTGAGTGCAATGGAGAACTACGACGGGCAAGTTACACCATGGTATTCGGACAGATGTCGAGAACTTGGCGCACCTGACTAAAAAGAAGAACGCGGTGCCCACGAGCTTTGAGCTTCGGGAGCATCATCTTGAGCATGATGAGCTTTGCGCTTGCACCGATGAGCCTCTCATGAACCTCCTTCGACGAAAGGCCGGGGGGCTCAATATCGGCCGACACAAGATAAGGATGCTGTAAACACCTGGTGAAAGCGTTTGTGATTGCTATGTTTAGATCATATTGGCTGCTCACTTCCGAAGCTGCATGAGGATGTTGTTCATGTTGGACTTCTTCACTGCAGCATTGATTCTTGATCCTCCAGTGGCCACGTTGAGTGCGATGCTCCGCAGTACGTCTACGTTCTGACCTGCGATAGTGTGAATCCATGCATGCAATCTTTTGATGCGAAGTACGTACTGAGGAGGGACCGATAGACCTCTTTCTGAAGTGGTGCCATACTAACAGGCACGATGACTTCGTTCTGCGGCGGATCCCGTCACCCGTAGGCCAGGCAGCTTAGAGGGGCAAGGCTCACCTTCGGTGGCAGCTGAAGCACTTCAGATTTGATGCGACGCAGGAAGTACGGACGCAGTCGTGTGTGCAGCTCCCGAACCTTCTCTTCAGTCAGCTCTTCATGCTCCTTGGAGAGTGTCTCCAGATTGTTCCACTCCAGCGGATTTAGGAAGTTCATCAAATTGAACAACTCTCGGATGTTGTTATTTAATGGTGTCTGAAGCAATTGGATCTTAATTCAAAGGGGGATAAATATAAAAACTTACTCCGGTAAGAATTATGCGATGGATAGTATTGAGCTCCTTGAGCTTCTTGAAGAGCAGACTGCTGTCACTCTTGACTGAGTGAAGAGGTGAGTTCAAGCACGAAGAGTGCTCTGTGAGATACTTACGCCGTTGACCCTCGTCCACGACCAATACCTCCCAACGAGGCATAGCCTTGAAGAGCGTGCCGATATCCCTCGCGTTAGTGAATGTCTCATAAGTGGTAACGAGAACATGGAATTTCGCGCCGGTCGTCTTCGCCTGAGCGGCGGGGTGGTAAAGTTCATACTGGCGGATAATTTCGCGAGCCTTGGAATCGCCGTAGAAGGGGACAACACGTAAGTTCGGGGCCCACCGTTCGAGCTCGCGAATCCAGTTAGTGATAGTAGAGTTAGGGACAACAACAAGGGCGGGATATGCTGAGAAAGGAAGTTTGTCAAAACCTTTGATGATTTGCCCGAGGAATGTCGCTATTTGCACAGTTTTTCCCTGGAGACGATGTAAGAGTGTGTGTTTTGGCGCAACGGGATGACTCACCAAGCCCATCTCATCGGCAAGAATGCAGTGCTGGAGGTTCCACCAGTTGTTACACAACCAATTTACGCCCTCAACTTGAAATGGCATCAGCTTGAGCCCAGAACCCTGCCCTAGCTCTGGTTGGAATTCAGGAGTGAAGGTATAGTTCCGCATAAATTTATCCTTCGGACGACCGTCAAATGTCTTCTGGTCGTCTTTGGATAACACCGGAACGATGACTTCCCTGGCAGAGAGGAAGCGTTCGAATGATGTCTCGAATGCCGGCCATCCTGCCTCTCCTTTACGTGGCGGCGACTCCCAGGTCGCTGTAAGGGATATGTGAGATTGTAGCAAGGTGAGAGCACACACAAAACCTACAATCCTCGTAACCGAGACTAGTCCACTTGAAGAAGCCCCACGCTATGAGGCTAACGTCACCTACAGTCATCCGCCTCTTTTCCCGTCGCTCAAAGCTCTCGATGGTCTCGACCGCCCGAGCGCTGGGCTGCTCTCCTTCGTCATAAGCGAGGTTGCGCTCTTGCACGGTTTCTTCGTCGAAGTTCTCGTCGGAGCCATTGTCTTGTCTGTCACTGTCCTCGTCGTCGCCAACCACTGCACGTTGTGCAGGCTTCCTGCCCCTAGGAGGTCTCTTAACGCGCGATTTCCTTAGCCACAGCAAGACGTCTAAAACACGATCAACTGTCTTCCAACCAGGCGGGATTTTCCTCTCGGCGTCCGGAACGGGCTCCAGAACGTGGGGGAGATCGTCTTCATCCTTCTTCGCGCGACCCTCAGAGTCATCGACAATTTCCTCTTCGTCATGCGCAAAAGCAGGGCCTTGGTCTAGGTCCATGGACGCCACAACATCATCCGCAACAGGTTCAGGTAGAAGAGGAATGCTAGGTCCCTTTGCGAGGAAATTCTTGAGCTTGGCGGGATATGTCGCGAGGAGCCACATGTGCGGTACCCACTGTACCCGCTTAAAGCTACGGTCGACCCACTTGACGAGGTACTCGCGTGGTAGCGCTGACTTGTAGTTCGGGAGCTCGCCTAGGGAAAGCAGTAATTCCTTCGCATTCTCGGGGAAGGGGCGCCACGCAAGGACGTGTTCGACGGTATATGTGAACGACACGCAATCCGCGCATTGCCAATCAGTGTTAGACTGGTAGTATTCCGCGATCTCGACCACCGTGTAAATCTCGTTGGGATCCGCGTAGCGGGACAGCGGTAGATGATCATAGTGCGCCAGTCTTTTGCAAGTCAAACACCGGAAGAGAAGTTGGTCGGTCGTATCAGGAGGAGGCTTTGCGTTACTCCCTTCCGCAGGTGGAACGGCATCTTCGTCGGTAGTCAGGTCTATCATGACTACGTCACCGTCAACAGCTGGGGTTGGAGTGACCCGGGCAGCTTGGGCACCGCCGATGGAAACACGGATCCCACCGACCTCCAGCGCGGGTTCCTTGCAAGCCATACAGATACCGCCCTTCATACAGGAGCCGCAAATGAACTCGGTTGTTTCATGAGGTTCCAGCCTGATACGTTTGACAGGCTCCGGGAAAGCAGTCGCGTCTCGCTCCCACTCGGACTTGTCCTTCTCGTAGATAGCTTTCAAGATCTCGTCTCGCTGGGTCTTCGCAAGACAGCCCCAGTGTGCGACGACAGGACATCTCAAACTAGGAGCCACTAATTATTGTGAACTCCAGGTCCAATCTGGGGAACAACATACCATCTAACCCAACCGCCGAGGGATGTGATGCGGTCCTCGTCGTCCTCGTCGTCCTCGTCGTCCTCGAAGTCGTCCTCGGCCTTCCTACCCCTGCGCTTTCTGCCTTTTGGTTTGGTGAGCAGCTTGTGAGTGGGCTCCCGGCGGCACTTCTCGCATTTCCTGCGATGAGCTGTGGTCCCAGGCTCTTCGGCGAATGCGTGAGGGCTGTTATGCAAGATACCAAGGCCCCGATTCGGCTTCTTTGGAAGTGCCTTCTTCTTGGATTGATGAGATTTGGTCCGAGGGGCGTATTCAGAGTCATCGATGAAATCTTGATCGTCCAAATTCTCGCGGGCTCGCTTCGCGGAGCGCGTAGACCGACGAAGACCTTTGTTTGTCGGCCAGGGATTTGGGGACTCATCATCATCTTCATCATCTTCATCAACAAGCGAGATAATTTTCCGCGACCTGGTCTTCTTGGGGCTAAACGGTAGAGTGGCCTGCTTCTTGTTGCTTGACTTGGCGACGGTCACCGTACGGGTAGACCGTCGCACAGAGATGTCGTCTTCTTCATCGTCGATGAACGCGTCGTCTTCGGTCTCTGGAGATGTTGAATGGACAATACTAGCAGCAAGTTCATCTTCCGACTCAGAGGCATGAATGCTAAAGCGCTTGGTTTTTGGTACGACTTTCAAGGTCAACTTGACCCGCGAATCCGGATGAACGTAACTCGCCGACGGGTCGAACGGCTCCTGTGTCCCTTCCTCCTTGTTCCGCTCTGAAGACACGCATTCTGTTGGTATTATAGAACACTGAGAGAGTAGTGACAGACCATATTCTTCCACTAGTTTAGGATGCTCTTTGGCGAAACGACGCGCGGAGAACTTGTCACACAATATTGTTTGCGGGGTAGCGAACAGGGCAAAAAATGACTCACTTTGTGGGCAGCGCCACCAAACATTCGTACAAAGTATTGCAGGCCATTGGGAGCTTCGTACTCTCCGATGATGCATTCCATATCCTCTTCAGGGAACTCGTCGGGGGCTACGGGGAGCTCTGCGAGGCCTGAATACTTGGCCTTCTCTTCAGGGGACAGAGTCAGAACTTCGACATAAGCTCTCGCTTTCCTTTCGGCTAGAGATAGTGACGTGAGTCGTGAGAGCTCCGCAGAAGTCTCTTCTGACTGTGAGCGGGAGGCGGCCAGTGGGATCATCTCCACGTCCGACTGGTCGTGGGATGGAGGCGCAAACATAAGTTCTACTTCTTGAGCGTCATCTGACATGACTCTATGATGTTCTTGGGCGACGTGGACGCGGTTCGGGCATGGGTTGCGCGCGAACGACGCGGTATGACAGAGAAAATGAAAGTCGCGTCCTCCGCTGCAATATTGCAGCCGCGTGCGCCGCGGCAGTTGCCGATGATCAGACGCTCGTTGTCACGGCAGCACTCTGGCAACTTCCTTAGTGTTCCCGTATTATACGCCCGTGAGCCCCAAGAGCGACAGGGTTCACGAGATATGTTACCACACATCTATTCAATAGCCACACGGAAACTGAGAATATTGGCTGCCCTAAAGAAAACCTCCCTCCGAAAGCCATTCACTGCATTGCCGCGCCAGCGTTTCCCCATGGTCTGAGCAGAAGGATAAGCCAAGTATACAAATTTATATAAAGAAAGTATACTGACTGATGCAGAATGCGTGTGGTATGTCTGCAGTTCCATGCGCCACCTTGACCGTCTCTTCACCGTCGAGAGCGCGAAGGACCTTCTCTTTCTGTCCCCCGACCCAGCCATCGCCTTCCGCAAAGTACACGTGAAGCCGCTCCTTATTCCGCTGGAGCAGACCTTCGTCGAGGGTCGTAATGGCCTTCATCTCCTCATGAGCCATGGTCAAGCAGTTGTACACAACGGCAGGGGAGCTGATGAGGCGGCGCAACACTGTCCGTTGGGCAAATGGCCAGTCACTGTACAGGAAGGCCACCACACGGTCGGGTATAGCATGGCTTAGCCTTGAGAACCATGCTATGGTTCGCGGGAACGGCGGCACAAAGAGGCCCTGGGCAAATGTTATATTCGTAGAAATCATATGCATGGCTTGAGATACACACCGATAGTCGGCGGCCGTTAGGCGTGTTTTTCATGTGGCAGATAGTGGGGAAGAGGAGAAAAGCTGCATCCACACTGTTCTCTCTATGCTTCAAGACCTGCAACAGTGAGATGAGGAGAGTGTGCATGGCAGTCCGATCGCCATACTTGAGTTACGACCCAAGATCCCACGCTGTGTCCCACTACCACAACACGATCGTACTCGCGCTTGACGGCGTCAGTAAATTCCAGCGCGTGCTCCACTTGCGCGGACAATGAAACAGCAGAATATTCCGTATTATCTGCTTCAATCCCGGGGGTATGACCAACGAAAGCATGAGCGAGGATATTTAGCCGTCTCTCTGACTTCTCGTGGATTGCGGCCAGAAAGGGTGTGTACCAAGCTAGCAGCCCAGGATTACCTGTACTAAATTGATCAGCACCTGCTACTCAGTTGTAGCAGAAGCCTACCGGGAATAAATATTATGCATGTTTTGCTGCCGCTCTGACTCGGCCACCACAGGACATGAGCCGTGGATGGGAATCGGCGATGTCTGAACAGAGCACTGTGATAGTTGACTGGCTCTGTAGATGGCTCTCCGACAAACTCAACACCACATGGCTCCAAACATACAGGTAGCTGGACGCTCTCCATTTGTGTTTTGAAGAGAGTGGCTGCGATCCCAAGGTGAAGACACGAACGAACGAACGAACATCTAATATCTAATATATCTATCTATCTAATATCTAATATCTAATATAATAAAACATCTCGGGCGTCAAATCCCCGAGACAAAGAGGCACTCTCATTGGCCCCTCTCACGAGGCGCCTCTCACAGGGGCGCTGCACGCCCAGCCAACCGAAGGTTGGCGGCGGGCGGCGCGTTCCTCTCATTTCTCATTCGATTTCTCTCATTTCTCATTCGATTTCTCTCATTTCTCATTCGATTTCTCTCATTTCTCATTCGATTTCTCTCATTTCTCATTCGATTTCTCTCATTTCTCTTCTGAATTCTTCTCTCAATCTCTTTTCTCAATTCGCTCTGCCCGTGCGTAGCACGGGTCACCCTCTCGTAACTCGAACGAAGGCGCGTCGTACCGGCGCTAATCATTTCGGGAAGAGGTCGATTTGGCAGTGCGTACCGCCCTCGAGCCTCGAGCTCACCGTGACACTCCGCGACCGCGGGGCTTGTTATTTAACGGCGACCATATGTCTCGCGTTCCTCCCTATCCCACTGCGCGACGCCCGCAGACGCCGAACGGTAATTTTCATGACGATGGACCGACCCCGCCAAACACGACTCGGCCCCTGCAGATAAGCAGGCCTCACTCACGCCCAACGACGCCTAGTAGCCGAATCACACCGCTACCCGGTTCATCTAGTGCAACACC